ATAATATATGTATATATACATACATATGCCTGTGTAAATGTAAATATAAATATAAATATTTAAATATAAATATAAATAAATATATAAATAAATATATAAATAAATAAGTAAATAAATATATATATATATATATATAATATGATATATGTCTGTATACATGTGCGTGTGTGTGTGTGTGCGCGTACATCGGAGCTTGTCCTAGAGCAAAGTCTGTCTGCCCTCGAGCATGCCTGGTGTTGAGGCCGCTGGCGGAGCTGGTCACAAGGACGGGAGATGCATCCATGTGCAGCGGGTCCTAGAAGACTTTGCAAGAGTGACGAACCAGGCCTTGATTGAGCTCCAGTATGCCAAGTGCAAGACTCGGCTTGCACGATTTTGCAAGGTTTAGCGTTTGATGCAAGCCATGTGTGCAACGGTGTGCAAGCTGCCTTTCCTGCACCCACATAGCCCTAAACCTATTCGAGCTTCTCACAGTTGTGTATGTAACCCGACAGATGGCGCCTCATCCTTCTCTACTAACTGTATGTTCAGTCTATGGATGTTGAGGCCAGATCCCAATCTGCACACGAAGCTCTTTGCCAAATACCCGTGGGACTACTTCGAGTCAGAGACCGGGAAGTGCCATGACAAGACTTAGCTCGGAGCAGATTTCCGTGTCGACACGATGCATTGGGATTTTGTGGTAAGAAGTCAGTCTTCATGGCCATCTCCCTGAATCTGCCGAGGTTCAATCCAGTTTAGTAGATCCGGGTTTGCTCGAAACTCTAAATTTCTGAGCTCTGAACCCTAAGGCACCAAGCCTTGATGCCACTACTGTAATTGAGGATCCGTTAGGACTCCGGGCATGCTTTTCATGACTTCTCCATGAAGAGTTACTATAAGGACTACCGTCAAGATCTAAGCCTGTGAGGGTTCGCACGACTCTTAAGTCATCTCCACAACTTCTGAGAGTCACTAGGCGGTATCGGATGCAGATGTCTGCGTATTCAGACATGGATTCGGCTGAGCTGCTCACTTCCATCTGCTGTGAGCACCTGAAGCTTGGCTTCTTTAGAAATATGGTTTACGGTTTAGGGTTTGGGGAATATGGGAGTTCGACAAAGATGGCTCCCTTGCATAGCAAATTCCTGGAATCAAAGACCAACCAAAAGCCACCCCCTTCGCCGGGAAATGATCCCAAAACTACAACCAGAAGCCCTATACTGCAGAAACGTGGACCCTCCTGCAACTGATCCATAGTTTCCAGCAAAAAGGTCCCCAACTATACAGCGCTCGTGACGTTAGGTTCAGTTTTTGTTTGCGCTGTAGGGCGCGCTTAGAGGTTTTACAGGGTTTTATAGGATGTTAGAAGAGTTGCTTCTACAGGGCTCTATAGGTTTTCATGAGGGTTGCGCGGGGTTGTCCGACTTTAGAGGTGCTTACGGCTTGAGGTGTCTTTTGACAGGGTTGGGGTTCAGAGTTTAGCTTCAGGGCTGGGGCAGAGCTCTTGGGTTCAGGACTCCGACTGTTTCTGTTAGGGGACTTGTGACGAATCGAAGTCAAATTGTAAATGCTTGGCTTCGTCCACCTCGGCCAGGCTGCAAGTGAACAGGGATGGAAGAGGGGGGAGGATGGGGGCCGAAACGCAAAATTGCAGGTGAGACTGCTTAGAGACAAGGCAACTCCATTGGAGGACACAAAACTTCACCGCCTAGCCCTGGAGCCAGTGAATGGGTCCGGAGGAAGGAGCGGGCGAGGGCGAGGGAAATTTAAATCGCTGAGCTGAAGTTTCAGAGATATGGGAGTTTGAAGGCTGCTCATCGTGGAGACGCCTCATGACTTTAGTGCCTTTCAGGGGTATGTATGATCATGAGGACGATGAACGTGAAGAACAAGACGCGACCATGATGTCTTTTTGCTGTCTTGCTATGTTGATGAAGAAGATCTTTCGGAGCAACAAGGAGAGCGATTTCTGACACATACATCGGACCTGCAATTGGATTCGACTTTCTTTCTGAGGTTCCCTTTCCGGATACCGAAGCTATACTTTGCCGACATCAATCGGGAAACCACGAACTACGCCTGGTCCTCATATGACCAGTCGGGTCGGATCGGGCCTGTCCTCGGTCCAATTGCCTGCCGCTTGAGGTCCTGATTGTGGAGCGCATTCCCTTCGGGAGACGTGGGAAGGTGCTGTGATAGTGAAGCCTGGTGTCCGTGGTTTGCAGATCGTTCTGCTCTGCATGTCACCCTCGCGAGGTGGTGAAAGGAAAGGTGACGGAGAAGATCGAAAGAAAACCTTTCGAGATCTTGCCTGTGTGTGGCAAATACCAGGAGCGCCGACCTAGCACACATGCAGTTTCTCGTTCTCGGCAGCCACTTGCACTGGCGACCACTTCCTGACGAGCCTTTGCGGGAAGTCTACCCTGCGATATCAAAGCACACAGCTGCTGTCAGTCTATCTTTTCTTGATCTCCGGCGGTCTCGTACGTAGCTGGCTCTTCCATCCCAGCATGCACCAAAAACTTTTGTTTTTCAACTGACTGAGTGTTCAGCATGTATCAGCACGTGGCATGATACTGCTGCATAAGATGCGCCTAGTGAACGAGCTGCTGGACAGCAGGACTATTTGCTGGAGGATGCTCCCAGCATTTATTATGCGCTTTTCCGCTCGGCACCCAGATATCAGAATTTCAGAGCAGTCGACGTGATGCTAGTATACGCTAGTCTCCTAAAAATTGACCGCCGCTCCCCAACAAATCCATGAAATCAACATTTCAAGCCTGAGAAAGCCTTCTAGGATGGGATGCCGAAGTAGAAAACATTCCGCAACAACAAGCCGAAGAAAGTACTTCCCGAAGCCCTACAGGTGAGATGGCTCATTTGGCAGCTTGGGACCATCAAGGCCGCTACGATGCGTTCTTGGGGCCGATGACGAAATACACGGAGCAGGAGCCACTTCAGCGGTTTGGCTGCCTTCCTCCATAATATGATAGTTGGATGAATAGGAAAGACGTCGTGACGTAGTGTATATGGACGGTGTTTTGGCAGTTGCGATCCCTGCATGTCTAGAACGACTGTACGATTCGCGGAGCCTTTTTTGGCTTTTATGTGCAGGGTGTCAGATTCCAGTGTCCTGACAGGAGTACTTGGACCAAGTGATTCGAGTTCGAAAACCGCAGAAACAGAAGAAGATGGAGGTGCTGAAAGGTGGCTGTGGGAAACTTGGGCACGCTGTCGCAGCGATGTGGCAGAAACACAGTGTGTGGCATTACTTGATATTACTTGCCCGTAGGAGAGATCGGCTAGCAGAGTAGGTCTTGCTGTCGGGTCATTCATATAGGTTTGATTGCCTGAGGTCAGTCCATGATCGAGAAAGGAATCGACTTTGCGCTGCATGTTGCTTCGCAAATTTTTACGGCCTCAGGCGAACGGATGCGGCCAACAGCTTTGACAGTCTTCCTTGCCAGTGCAGATATATTTCATGAAGCGCAGCATCGAAACAGTCTGAGCGACGACACTCTTGGATGACGTGCAGTTCGCTGTTCGGATAGGAGCGCCAACATGGCCTTGCGACGTTTGACTGCCAGCATGTTGCAGGCCGAGACAGGGCAAAGCTGGAGAAAATGAAGAAGGTGCCTCGACAGCGGGTTGCACACTTTTTTCGACCACATTGGCAGTAAATTGGCAGTTATAGATCTTGCAGCATTCATCTCTCAAGTCCAGCAAATAGCATGAGCTAAGGAGATCGTGGAAATAGCGCCGTACTTTGATGACATCAGGTACGCCTGACATTTATGCAGGATTCAGGTTCAAACGTCCCCACAGAATTTGATATGCCGCCTCAGCGGTCAAGAAGGGCAGCCAACATACAGCTCACTCCTGCGGCCGGCGGTAGCAGAATGCCGTGCTGTTTCTGCTAGACTACATGGATCGTCGTGGTGACTTCTTGTGACGAGCCTCTACAGTGCAAGCTGGAAGGTCATACATGAACAACTCGAGCGACTGGACGGCGGCCATGCACATGAACCTCCAAGCGGACAATGCAGCTGGAATTCATTGGAATCAATGCAAGGTTTGTTTTCACGTGACTCTACAAGATCTTGTCATCGGTTGAAGCCGGGTGCGCAGTAGAGCGCGCTGGCAAGCTTGGAGAATGCGGTCGTGACAGACTGTCATCGATAGTCTATTTGGCCGCTCACCCTCCCGAACGCCACAACACTGCCAACAAAAGCAAGGCTGGTAGCAACAGCAACAACAACTGACAACACCCTGCCCATCCCTGCCCTGCCCCGCCCGTATGCATCTGCGGACCCAGTCACCACTACCACCACTACCACCACCCACCACTACCACCAGCACCACCAGCACCACCAACACCAGCGCCGCCACCAACAACACCAGGAGCCGCAGCTGCAGCAGCAACAACAACAAGTGAGTCAGTTATGATTCAATGATGTTAGCATCCCGCACATAAGGGGTTTTGACCGAAATTAAAAGATTCGGATTAAACTCACCAAAAACTCAGACAAGGACATTCTTCAGATAAAACTCATCGAAACACTCGACGGAAACTCGGTAATGTTCACAAAACTCAAATAAAACTCAGATACAACTCAATACTCAATAAATACTCAAAGAACACTCAGGGAAAACTCAAAAACTATTCCAACACATTTTGAACCACTTTGAAGCTGCTAAGCCACAACTGAATTGAATACATGAGGTTTGTATGTGAGTTCCAGTAGGTTTTTGGCTATGTTTTGAGTGTCTTCTGTCTGAGTTTATTTCGAGTTGTCTTTGAGTTGTCTGCGAGTGCTTTCTGGTCGGAGTGTTCGCCGAGTTTTTTTCTGAGTTTCCTGTGAGTGTTCTTTGCGTCCTGTTTTGGAGCCTGAATTCGGGCCGAGTTTTTGGCTGAACACTGGTGTGAGTATTTTTTGAGTCTCCGCTGAGTTCTTTCCGTGTTTTGACCAAACCCATGAAAACCCTTGTGTGTGGGCGTGCTGACATCATACATCAAGTGCCATTGAAAGCCCATACACCCAGCCATGTGACCGAATCTTTAAGCGGCAAATTTTTGGCAGGTCTTAGGAAGTCGACACGCTTGCGAGCCTTTGCAGGCTTGGTTCTGGCATGATGAGATGGGCGATCTAGATGTTGGAGTTTTTGATTGGTGTGGCTTCGGGCGTGCTCCGTTCGTGATGCCACTTAGCAGATCAGCAATGCCAATGATTCATGCAAAGTTGGTGGGTGGCTTCGGTTCTTTTGCGACGGCAATGCTGTCTTCAATCGTCTCAGCTTTGAGCAGCGCACAGCTTGGCCAGCAGTGGCGAGCTCAGGAATTTCATGGGATGTCTGAGTGGAGCCGAAGCAGACATGCTCGATGCCCACGAGGAGGGTTTGATGAAGATGTTCTGTGGGCATCTCAGGAGAAAGGATAGCTCCACAGCTGCTGTATCCTCTTTGCGTGATATGCTCAAACAGGGCCCTGCCGAACTGGCTGTGGCCATGCACGTGTGCTCCGTTTCGCGACTAGGAACTTCGGCATGTCTCGTAATGCTCCTTACTCCTACCAATGCTCCTTCAGACTTAAGTGTGTCGCCACTGCCCATATGGATGGCTTCCGGGCAGCATGGTCGGCTCTACAATGCACGAGTGAGCAGTTGGGCCCTTGTCGGGTGTCTCGATGTTTTCGGCTGTTTGCATCATCTTCTGCGGAGGGGGGGGGGGGGTGATCGCAGTACTTTAGTGTGGTGGTGCCGATGCCCCGAGTCCACCGCAAAGCAGCATCAGCTTAAGAAGAAACTCGGAAGACTAGAAAACCATGCCAAACAGCTCATGCTAAACTCCTGACAAAGGGCAGCCTCTTCCCCAACCGAATCCAAGTACCACCTCCACCCCGGCGGGCGGGGGCGAGTACTCAAAATTCTGCCTTTGCGGTGTGTTTTCATTGCCTGAGCCCAGCAAGGTGACGAGTATGAGAGGTACGGTGGTCCACATTTGGAGCCTTCCGAGATGCTCCTGAAGTACCACTTGCAGTGGCCTTCCTTCGCCATGGATGCTTGCCAATGGGTGGAGAGAGACATCTACGTCCAGTGCCCTCGGGAGGAGACGCGCAGCATCTACGTTGTTGTTGCAGCGATAACCGTCCTAAGAACATTTGTTCAGCTTCAGCTGCCCTTTTCGTCGCCATGCAGGCACGAGTGAATCATGTCTGGCGTCTTGAGCGCGCGCACCTGCTGCACCACATTGCACAGCACCTTGTAGCCCTGCCTCTTTAGATGCAGTCGATTTTCCGCAGGAGTGGAGCACCGTAAAGTCGATGCTCGATGACAAGTTCGTTGATCGCTGGAATGTCAGATGTCGCGGAACTACTTTGGTGAATGCTTTCGAGTTTTGGCACCGAAGAAATTTTAGCAAGATCTTCAACGATTGGATCTCCGGGCCTGGCAAAGAATACAGGTCTGTCTACAGCGCCTAGACACTTATCTAAGGACTTTAGGAGGGACCCCTAATAGGGACCCTTAATCCCATTACCTTAAATAACCATTGTATAGTCCTTCCTAAAGCCCTTAGAACTTAGCTGTCGCGTTTTCCTACTAGGCAGCTGGCTGGCGGCTGGAGAAAATGTGTTGCTGTGCTACCGGCCTCCTGCCTTTCTAAGATAGGTTTAGGGTTTAGGGTTTAGGGTTTAGGGTTTAGGAAATTTAGGGTCCACCGCGTTCCGCGTTCGATTCGCTTGCGGCAGGCCTTGCAAGCAAGATCAAGTCAGGAGATGTGTGGCTTGGGTCTTGTCAAATCTTGTTGACTTGACTTGGCTCAGCTGACGGTCATTCTGAGGCATGTACCCAGTTCTCGCGCATGATATCGTGCTCAATGGTATCCGTTTGCCTTAATGTTAGAGCCACGACATTCTGGTTTCTGAACTGGCTAGCACCTCAACAGCTCGTGTGTAACTACATCTAATTGGGCCCAGAAGCTCACGGCCGATGAGCCAATGGGAAATGAGCCGCTTGCCTATGCAGACAGACAGCTGAATGTCGGAACAGTTTGCAGGGCCCGCAGCTTCATGCGGTCGACCATGAAGTCGTTTGATATCACAAGCCAGGTTTTAGAGGCATCAAGCAGCTTCTTTTGGAGACTGCTCGAGGTGCAAATGCTGCAAGAAAGAGGACGATTCGCCAAGGAACGAGGTCACGCTGTTGCAGGACCCACAGCCGCAATAGAGCCGCCCTGGGGACATGTTGGTTACCAACATGTGGCGGCAAGACGTTACGTCTCGGTCCTAGGCACCGGGGACCGCAGTGTTGCCTTGGTATGCCGGACATGCCCAGGCAGAGGACCGAAAATTTGCAGGTTGCTTGGATTCTTCCTGTGTGTTCCTTGTGCCCAAAATGCTTGCATGGTTTGCTCTGGTTGATCATGACAGGAGATGTCAGAGAAGGAGTACAACCAGAAGCTCCTCAAAGTCACCTTAAGAGTGCAACGCCACTGGCGCGTCGTCACTGCGAGGAAGGTCTTTGCGAACAAGGCTGTCTTGTGTCGGGAAAAAGACAGCCTTCTATAATGAAATATTTCACGAGACGTAGCTGGGATGCAAAGCCAACCAATGGGGGCCTGTCTGGGAGGCAGCTGCCTCGTATACCGGCAGTACCGCCAACAAGCAAACCTTCTTGCTCCACTATCAGGCAGGTGAAGACGTTTGTGTCCGTTCGAACACAGCAGTGAGTTTGCTTCTGGATCTCTGTCATGCTTCGGTCCTCTGATCTGCACACTTGAGAGCTAATCAGCTAATACTAGCTGCCACGTTCGTTTAGACTTGTATGATGTGCTGAATCTGTGTACCTACTGCTGCAGCTGGATGAGGCGAAGTACATCATCGCGAATAACCTTCCGGCTAATGATGCCCACTGGGATTCCGATGATCCCGCGTGGATTGGGAAAGCTTCCATGTCGAAGCGCCATCGATTTCTTATTCGGCGGAACCTGCATTGGCGGTGGTTTAATGCACTCGTTTTTGGCGACTTGTCCAGCATTTTGCTTTGGATACTGGGTCAATCCAAGCATCCAAGCGATGCCACTGTTGAACTCAAGCGATTCCACAGCCCACGGAACGTCCAAAGTGTTATTTTGTGATCTGAGAGCCCTGTGCATGAATTGAGGCATGATGGATGAGCAAGAACGAGTTTTTCCGATGAGCACGTGTGCTCAAGACGCGCTTACAGAGATCAGAACGATGAAGGCGAACCCCTAGCCGGATTCACACGGCCATGTTCTCGTAGCTCCCAATCCATGGGCGCGTGCAGACCAATGCAGAAGGTTGAGGTTTGTTGACCAGGGGGTGATGAAGGGCTGAAGGGCGAATGCAGCGGCTCATAGCGTCATATGTTCATTGCATGAAGGGACGACCCCAGATCGGCTTTCCGGAACATGCTCGGAACGCTTCGCTGTTCGAGCGAATTCACGAAGTGTTGCTATTGTGCAGGAAGCCGCGCTCACTTGGGTGAATGGTGCTCGCGAGAGTGAGGGCTGGTCTCACAACGTGGGATTGTTCTTTCATGTCTACGGCCACAACAGCTCCTCAGCTTCAAATTGTTTTGACATCGTTGCTGTGCGGCTTTCCGTAGCTGCCGTAGCTTTCATGCAGCGGCTTGGCGAGGTGTCAATTCCCTGCATCTGCACGTGGTCGATCTGGACTTCACTGGACCCAGCTTTGAGAGTCAGAAGCGGCGTGATTGCATATTTTATACTGCCTGGGCAACTAGGATCGGCAAGGCATGCCTCAAGTTTCACAAACGTAGCACATGCCTTGCACATGCACCGCAATCAACTCTAGGATGACTTTGCTTTTGGCAGATTGTGGCAGTCTGAGCCAAGGTTCAAGAATTTGCCAATGGATGCCGTTCTCCAGGTACTGGAGCAGGTCACGTGTTGCAGTTGTCGGATGCATGGGGTCCACAAGAGTCCAAAGCATAGGTTTCCGCAACCAAGTCGGCGCAGATGTGCGGACAGCCCATGGAACGAAATTGGGCCTCGTTGGCCGTCACCACCTTCTTGTAAGAGCTTTGCTTGTCCTTCTGGACCTGTGCATGGTCGCCTCGTTGACGTTGGAATACAGACTTCCATCAGAAGGTTGTTACATCGATTAGCACAACTCGCCTGATATGCGTGGTATTTGTCATTCTTGCTATGTGCAGTTGCTTTGCTTCTCGAGCTCGATCCGCCTTGACGTGTAGCCAACAACCCCAGGCTAGACCAATTGTTGCAATGTCTTGGTAAAGCACGAGCATAACTGGGCAAGCACTCTTGACAAAATGGTGTGGGTCTGACCCAAGAGACAAGCCAAGCCTCTTTTGTTGCGAGGCCGAGCTGACAGTTTGGCTGATGCAACTAAGGAAGCTTCTCATTTAGAGCCCCGTGCAGCCGTCCATGTAGTGATTTAAGATGCGAAGACTGCGTGCACGTTCAGGTTTCCCTTGCCTTGTGTCTGCCCGTGCAACGAAACCTGTTGGGCAACGGCCCGATGTTCCAAAAAGCCTTTCATGTGTCTGTGCGTGTGAGCGTGTGTCTGTCTTTGCAGGGTGTGTCAGGCACAAGCATGTCTAGCACCTTAGCGTAATGTTGTGTCGCCTGGCATGGCTTTCGTGTTTGCTTATAACTTATAACTTATAGCAGTACTTACAAGTGTAGCATCCCCGGCAACACAACTGCATAACACCGAAAACATTTTTGAAGATTTCGTTGTAGATCGGAACTTATGTAGAAGCTCTGTAGATCCCCCTTGTCCAGACTTTCGTGGATCCCTTTCAAGGACTCCAAAGATTCCTTTTTTGGATCCTACGTCTTGCGCTTGAGAGGAAGTTGCGGGGACATCCGACCGCTGCGAGACCAGCTCGATGAGCTCTTTGCCGGCAATCGACGCGACTTTGCAGCACTTCGGAGTTCCTTTCCACCATATGGTGTGTAGTTCATATAGTGTTTACTATTTAGCAAATTTAGCATTTTGTTCCCCAGATAGCTCTAGCTCTGAAGGGTTCTAGCTAAATACGGAACCAGCTGTGTCCACCGCCGGCGCAGGGGGTGCAGCGGCGTGGACATGCAGGTTGCAGGTGAGACGTGCCGTGTCCGCCCCTGCAGGGGCGTGCAGGCATGCAGGTGGCATGTTGGTGAGGCACAGCCGGGCGAAGGGGTCCATAGCGTTCCTGGACCCAACAAAATTGCCCAGGAAATGCACGGACCTGATATAAAAAACCCTCCTGGACCCAAAGTAACCAGAGAAAAATCAAATGACTTTAGTTGATTTTTTGGAGAGCTTTGCGAGGCTAATTTCAGAATTGAAATCTAGCCAACATCGTCACAAGAGCATAGACGGGATCCATCGAACGCTCCAGAAATAAAAATCAGATTTAATTGTTTTTTGGAAGACTGCGGGAGGTTGATTGCGGGCTAAAAAGCTAGCCAACGAAAGTGACAAGTTGCTGCTGAAGGCGGACCCCGGCAAAATTGATGTAAAACTTCCTCAGATAGCTTGACCCATTACGGGGCCGGTGAAATCGGCGAAGCGACATGGAGGTGGGATGCATGCGGGACGCGCCGTGTCCACGGCCAGTGCAGGATGCCGCTGCAGTCAGCGCGCAAGTCACATGCAGGCGAGCGGTATGCAGGTGGGGGCGCTCTTGGAACCGACAAATGTGCTAACGAAAACAACTATATTCAGTTGTTCTTTGGGAGAGCTTCGAGGCTGATTTCCGGCTTGAAGCTGCTCAAAACCAGGCTCTTGGACACGACAAATTGCCAAGGAAAAAGCAACTAAAGTGGGTTACTTTTCGGGAGAGTTTCGAGGCATATGTTGGAGCTTGGGGCTGCTCAAAACTAGCCAGCCTCAGTGTGGTAAGACACCCGGCAACACATCGTACATGATAACATTGGTGCCCGAGACACTGACAATAAGTCGGCACTGTGGCACCAGTTGGCCTATCAGCAACAAACCTTGCATCTTATCCTCGGGGCACGAGTTTGGGCAGCACATGGTACATCCTAGCCCTGAGGCGCCAGGGACATCGGCGACAAGTAAAACATGTCAATAGTGGAGCACCAGTTGGGGCTTGAAGTGCAGGACACCAGAAACAGTTGGAGCCAAAGCCATCGGAAACAAATTGCACTTGGAGCACAGGACGCCTCAAACAAATTGTATATATTTGCACTCGAGCACGCCTCGGAGCCCAAGACATCGGCAGCACATTACATGTTAGCGCTGGGGCGTGACTTGGATCCCATGACACAGGCAACAAATCGTGCTTTTTGGAGCTGGGCACCAGTTGAGGCCAAAGACACAGGCAACAGATCGTATATCTTATCCGTGTGGCACCAGTTAGAGCCCAAAACGCACCGGGAACAAATCGTACATCTTGGCACTTGGGCACAACTTGACACCAGAAACAAATCGTACATCTTCACAGGGCACCAGCGACAGATCGTACACCTTCGCGCTTGGGCAATACTTGGTCTGTAGTATGTAGTGTGTAATATGGACTACATGATACATAGCGATGTCCTGAATTGAAAGCTGGTTTCGAAGATGACTTGGAGTGTTGCTCGAACGAACAACTCGTGGATGTTTACGAACAGAGTGAAATCTGAAGTGCGCCGGGCTCGACCAAGATGAGTTGATGCGTGAACCAATTTGGCCTGACCTCTTTGAACCTCTTCACATAGCTGAACACCGGCAGCTTTTGCAAATCCAAGAGGTATTTTTCGCGCTCCCTCCAGGAGAGCGTCGGGCCTGCCCAATCAGAAGTTAGCAAGCAAGAGACAGTCTCGCGAGTTTCCAGTCCTAAACGACAAAATCGAAGACTGTGCATCCAGTGTAGCATCATCGTGAAGTGCAAAACTCGGCACATGCGTCATGCCATGAAATTCTCGCTGCTCGAGACGATTGCAAGAAACATTATCTACTGCCATGACTGAGGAGTCGATCGACTTGAAGCAGGAGACCGTCAAAGCGAGTCCTGTTCTGAATGATGCTGATATGTACCGCATCGTGGTTGCAAGTACATGAGCTTTGTGTCCATGTCGTTTCTCAATCAAGAGGGCAGATCTTGCCCGCCGTCTTTCGGGCATAGTTCGCGGCAGTGCGTGCTCCACTGTCCACCTTCGAAGGCTGGGCCCGTTCATACTAAGGACGAGCGCGGCTGAAGTTGTACGAGCTGGGGGGCGTGCGCGCTTTGCGGGACCAGTTGAGGAGACAAGGCTTCCTAAAGGCTCGAAGCATCGCAGGGCACCTCGTGATGCGTGCAGAACCGCATACACAGACGATAAGGGATCTTCTCATGTCTGAAAGGCTGGCAGCCCGAAGCTGACCACCAGCAACAAGCCATTCAATGTGTTTGTGCGGATCTCGGACGACGTGCGGTGCGGGGTCCGTGGGATGACACGTACCGAAGGTTCATCTCTTTTGGACAGGCGACACACTGCTGCAGGCTGCATGTGGTAGGGAAGAGCCTCGGACTCGTTGTAATCCGACAGACTTTGAGGCACGCTTGGCGTACCAAGACACTGTTGGACGAGCCCTCTGCACTTCTGACACCAGCTTTATCAAGATCACCGGAAGCTCTCCTAAAAGCGCTTCTTCGGCTCTCTCCTGAGCCTCTTGCTGTAGACTGTCCTGTTTCCGAATGCCAGTGACGATGCCTTCAAGCTGATGTGGCATGCTAGCCGGGCACAGCAAGTGAGGACGTATGCATCTGTCACACCCCTGTCGCGCTGGCATCTGTAACGCAGTATTGGCATGAAAGCATTGCTTCTCATGACGGAGTCTTTGGCAAGTCACCAAAGGTGCCTTGTTCGTCATAAAGTTAACGACGGAATGAGTGTTTCAGTGACTGGTAACTTCTTGCCTGCTGTCAAAGCAAAGCCACTCGACCTTATGCCCTGGACGCTGTTACCAGCCACGCACCACGTTGCACAGCAAATGCGATTGGAAGCCACAGGTTGCACCTTTCTATGTGCGGAGGACTTCCAGTCCATGTGCTTATTTATATTCTTTCTGGAGCCTTTGTGGCTCAGTGCAAAGCACGTCCTGGAGAACGAAGCATGGCTGGGTGTCTCTCTCCTTTGCTCGGCTTCGGACGGCTTTCCCAATTTCCAAATTTCTGTGGCTTTCACCACGAAAGGTGTAATGAAGATGCAGATACATGAGACATCCGCATCCGCGTCATTGACATGTGGGGATTGCAGCGCTCGCTCCCTGGTAAGGATGCAAAGCTCCTTGCTCTTGAGGAAATGTGCCTTAAAGGACGTGTTACTTAGAGCTGCATTCAATCATCATCTGACGGCATAAGAAACTGGATGACGCTCGAAATGACAAATCAGGGGATAAGAAATATGCAAAAGATGTTATGATGAAATTAAACCAAAATAATCGACGAAAATCATATAGGATCGGACCCAGGACAACCTTTATTTGTGTAAACACATATAAATATAAGTGTATATTTTTTTGAATATATTGGTATTTTCATTTAAATATTCATGCTCAATTTATATAAAAGATTTGATGGATGCTAAAAATTCTGAAGAAATATCGAATTAATTCTTGGATTATATAGAAATAAATTTCTGATAAAAATAATAATAGAATATAATAAAAATAAATAGATAGGAGATAATTGCGAAATAGAAATCGAAGATAATTAGATTCTTTTTATAAGATATAATAATGTATATTTTCCGCATATTAAATTTAATTTATTTTAGTGAGTTTAGAGGGAATATATAATATTTATTATTTTTAAGGAGGAGTAGAAGAAATGGCCTCTAGACGTTATTATGGCCGTTAATTCTGTTCTTTCTAAGTATTTTAGAGTAGCTCCGATACCATCATCGCCGCTCTCGACGAAAGGTTCAAGGGAGCGGGTAATTAATTAAGTTAAGTTGTATAAGATAAAATTAGTCTGAAAATATGTTGTAGGGGCCGTAAATGGTAGTCTTATGGCACGCTTAGTTGTGCTAGTGCGCTGCACGGGACTTCCACGTACATATTGAGGGTAGTGCGAAATAGAAAGCGTAGAATAAATGGAATCTACCAGAAGTGGCCCAAATCTAGGGTTTCAGCCCGGAAAAGGGGGTTTGGGCTAGAAGAGGGGAGCGGGGACGCGTAGTGGGTAAATGGCGAAGGGGAAAGACGAGAAATGTAGTCGTGAGCGAGAAATAAACGAAAAAAGACGAGGCTACAAATGTGTGAGGAAAAGGAGGAGGGGGTGGGAGTGGAAGCGATAGGAAGGGGAGCACGCGGACTGAAACGAAGAAAGTTGTGCGAACAGATAAAAAAAGGACGTCACGTGCAATGCATGACGAGGCAAGCAGCGCAAGATGCATATACCTTTTTATGGTGTCCCTACGGATGCTTACGCGGTCTTCCGCACTGAGAGCGCGAATGGCCCTCGTCAGAGTAATGGGAGGCTAGTCGTCAGCCACGTGGGGGCCCATGCTCTCAGTTTTTGGAGAAGGGAGTCGATGGAGGAGGGGTCGCCCCTCTCCACCTGTTGTAGGAGCCACCGTCGCACTTTGCGAGTTGGGAGCGACGATGACGCATTTGTAACGGATTCAGCCCCTAGATTGTAGTGCACAGCTAAGACCCGTAGGTGCTGTAGTGGGTCTGCTCCACGACACCAAGGGCATGGACGGGCCTGCGAGTCCCAGGCAGAGAGGCAAGCACCGCTGCATGTCCAATAAGCTGCTACGCAAATTTGGCCTCGGTGGGTCTCAGTGAGCACTACGACACCAAGGGCATGGACGGGCCTGCGAGTCCCACGCAGGGAGGCAAGCACCGCCACATGTCCAGTAAGCTGCTACGCAAACTTGGCCTCGGTGGGTCTCAGTGAGCACTACCGGCGACAAGGAAGGCCCCGCCGCAGTCCAATAGCGTGCTTGCTAAGGCTTGCTCGCGCAAACGCTGGCAGGGTGCAGCTGCTCACAGTCGTCGCACTACCACTTCATATAGCAAGAGAGCCCAGCGGATCTCCCGCACGAGGGCAGTACCTTGAGGAGATGCTAACCAACGCTGCAGGTCACGAGTGGGCGGGTGGATCAATATACGTAGATCAGGTGGAGACTCAACCTCTTCGCCGGGAGGGGCTGGATCGGCTAGGGCGATGCTGGCGAGGTGGAGCCACGCCGAAAGGCGAGCTTGGTACGCACTCCGGACACATCGCAGGCCCAGCATAAGCCGCTGAGCAAACTGGATGGCCGGTAGCGCCCTGCGCCTAGACTGCGAGAGGATGCAAAGTTCAGATTGGAGAGCCCTCGATTGCCGGAGGGTGGCGAACTGCTCCAGTTCTTGGTTTGCCATCGCTTCCAATTCTGGAGGGGACAGTTGGTAAATAGCAGCGCCCATGGCCTTTGGGAAAGCACCGCGGTAGGCGAGGTCAGACCCCGACTCGCGTGAGCATGCAGTGGCACTGCTGCCGTTGACATCCTGGAAGAGTAAGGTTTCACGCTAAAGAATGGGGACGAGCCAGCGCCAGGCCGTCAGGATTGGCCATCGTCGCGCCGATTCCGGACACGGGTCAACCGGTATATTGCCTAGTGGTGGCAGCAATGAGGCTCTCCACCGAGCCGCCGCTTGCAGGTGAGCCTCCTGGCCTATACCCGCTGCGAGCTCAGCTTCAATATCCTCGGAGCCAGTTGACAAGGGGGGACAAGGCAGGACAACTCATAATAGCGTGCCTCGGAGTGCCAGGCACAGATACGCACAATGGGCAAGTGCGGGCAGAAGGCCATCCGGCCTGCTCCGCCCATGTATTTGCCGCAGCCTGCGTCCTGCGCTTCATTGCCCTGTGTCAGCACCGGGAATGGGAGAGAAGAGCTTGACTGGTGATTACGGATGTCTACACCTACGACACCATCTGCAACAAAAGCAAGGCGCGAGAAAACGCGCTGGAGGCAATCAACCGGGAGTTTAATATTCCACTGGTGTGGGAATCGCTGTTGATGCAGTTTCCAAGAAGGGGTGGGCGCGGAGCCCGTCCATGCGTGCCTGAGTTCCCCGAGGACATGATTGAGCATCCCCACCAGGAGAGCACTGAGAGGACAGAAGTCTTGACACGGAGCCCGCAACCGCGACCCGCATGGACGAGAACAGTGCGCTGCGGTCGAACACTAGCAGGTGCCACTGGTCTGCACGGCGAAAACACAATGCACAAACCATTGAGAGCGAGGTGGACTCCCAGCCCAAGCGAGGGGGGAGTTTGCGGGCCAGTTGGGCAGATACCCATGCGGAGGAGTCCCAGTATTGCCCCAACCTCCCAAAGCTACGAGCTTGGCAAGCAAAGGTGGCACCGGATAGCTTGGAGTAGCCGCCATCGCCATAGATAGCCTGATCATCCGAGTCCCCCGGTGTGGGCATGGTGGAAAGAAGCAGGCGTGAGCGTGAGTCACTGCGCGGCGGCGGTTGACAGCTCGCTCTCGAAAGAGCATGCTGTGGCACTCTGTACAAAAAGTCATGCACACCATGGCTGCTTATGGCAAAACGAGTCCATCGGCCGCGCCAAGTGGGGCGGCTAGTAGTAGAAACACCAAGAGTGCTTTCACCTGCGGCTCGCAGGGCAAGTGGCAAGGTTGCAAAGGAAGGAGCAGAAGGTCGGTTGGCGACGGCTGCGGCCGCTGCAGCAGCAAAAGAGTTGCGACCGGCGTCAGTGCGCAAAGCTGTGAGGTTCAAGCGCGGCTTGCGAGTCTGGCCGAAAGCCGGGTTGACTGGCTGAGGAATGGGATTATGCTATGGGAGGCGTCGTTGTGGGCACGCACGCAACTTGAGTATCATCAACTTGTGGTCAGAAGAAACCTCAGCCCCCGGCAGTGCATGACAATCTGTCACGAAGCGAAAGCAAGACTGTCGGGCGAGCGCTAGATCAATGACACCATGCGTCTGCCATCTGCCGTGAGTCCATGTTGCAGTGTGGGCCAAGTCGTGTGAGTAAAAAGAATTTAAAGTTTTAAGTTGCTGCACTGCTGCGTGCCCTAAAAGGGCGTCGCCATTGGAATTCACCCTGCCTAAACCAAAAGGTCCAAGAACGGAGGCTGGAACCTGACCAGGCACCAGCAAGGGGCCCAAACCCTACACGTGCATTATAGTCTCCAACAGCGAAAGCGGGTTCTCTATGGGCACTTTGTCCCAGAACTCAGTTGGATCACGAAGAAAATTAGATTTGTCAGCAGATGTGGACTCCATAGTGGGACCGTATACGGAGGCTAGGTGCCATAGACCTTCCCCCTGATCTAGTGCAAAGGAGACCGATATTAGACGGCCAGAGCACCACGTGGGAACACGACGGTTGGCCATGCACCATGCACGATGAGCTTGCTGGCCCAAAAGAATACCGACGCCTCCAAGATGGTCAGTGGGGCCGCCAGAAAAAAGCAGCCAAAACCCGTCCCCGACGTCGGTAACACCTGTGCCGGGCAATCGAACCTCAGAGAGCGCGAGAGCGTAGAGCTTATGGTCCCCCGCGTTCGTTGTTTGAGAGTTTCGATTTCCGTGTCATCGTCAAACCGACAAGTGCCGTCGGGCTGTACATGAAGGGAATGGTGTAGGGAACAGACGTTAAGGAACCCTATGTTACAACGGCAGAGGTCGTATCTATAATGGAGTCCATGACGGTGGCGATTGTTCAATCGCGTGCGGCAGGCACGAAATGTCATCAGTGGACTCCCACCATCAAGGACATTGCTCGAAAGATAAGGTGTGTTGAACATGGCGACAAATGCATAAGTTGTGCACAGGATGATGGCAGGCTGCAATCACTACCACCCTCCGTTTCCGCAAGCTCGGTCGAAAAGGAGCGGACTGGAAGTCTGCTAAGCTCGTCGCCGAGTGATGCAGCCACGTCTACCACTTAGCCATCATGACAGGCTCCCCGAAGGACGATCATCTTCCCATGCAGTAGTGTCATGCTGTTGCCACCCCCGTACCGCGCTGAGGCGGGTAGGCCGTATTCAGGGGGGAGTCACAGCACCAATTCCATGGGTCCTCCCATGCTTCTTCTGTCCACTGCTCAGCGATATATTCCGATGGAATGACGTGAAACAGGGATCATTCTAGGGTCCATTCTTGCTGAGACTGGGCATAGGCCAAAGAGGCAGCTCTGGCACATTCAGCCGGGGAGATGGGAGCGTGTTGGGGCAAGGCTTTTCCCACAGGGCTGGGTCGTGCCAGTCTGTGCGCGGGCCGTGCTGGAGTATAATCCAGGCCGACCGAATTGAGTTAGCGAGCAAACCAAACCTATAGAATCGAGCAGCTGCCTCAAATTTTGCGGGCAGTGGAGAGGCTAATATAAAAACCGTGCCCGGCTAGGAACTTCATGGCATCGGCACCCTTACCATATAAGATCTCAAAGACGAATATAATAGAGATACCTATCTTCAGAAAACACAACATTAGAATTCGTGGTGCTATAGTTTCGGAAGCACAAAAAATATTGAATTAAATTTGAATTTAAGTCTTTAATAAGAAAAGAAAACCATAATAAGAGACTATTCATAAAATAGCTAAGTATTTGAAATTCGTCGAGACAGTTGCTATCAAAGTTCTTATAAGAAGAAATTCGAACAGAGTATCACCCATAACATACGATTTATCTGCTCTTACTCGCCATGCTATAATATTTTCTCTCCTCGGCCTATCCACTCACTCCGCCTCCCCCCCCCTCCCCTCAAAGATGATTTCGCCCTTCCTTCCACGATACTTTCACATTATACGCTCCTCGAACCACCGAACCACTATTCCACGATTCAGATATCCTCTTCCGCGACACTCTCCACGACATCTATTCCCCTCACTCCATGACACCTTCACCTTCACCCACCACTCCGTGACACTCCCCTCAAACCATCCGATCGCCACTTCACATTCCCCATAGCGTTATGTAATCTTATAAGATTTTCGGGCAGCCACGTGCTGGACATCAGCAAGACCGTTGTTTGGCATTCCTGTGGCGTCTTGTTGGCGTTCCGATTTGGTGTCTTGGATGTGTTGGGATTTTGTTGGCATGTTTTTGGCGTTATGATTTTGCGTTTTTTTTTGTGTCGGGATTGTGGTGGCACTTTTCGGGAGCAACCTGCAGCGTGATTCCCCATCCCCTAGAAAGTTCCTGTGAGGAGGAATGCTAATCTGGACACGAAGACTTTCCAGGAACACCGAAATGCACTCCAGCTTGAACGCGGACACAGCCAAGAACGCCAATTTGGACTTCAAATAAATGCAAAATCAAACACCAAAAAAACGCCAAACCAAGTGCCAACCAAAAACGCCAAATCCAGGCAGCGAATCCGGACCTCCGCATTTCTAGGTTTTTGGTGAATGCTCCAGTGTTTTGGTATTTTTCGACATTTTTCGCGATTTTTTGTACTTGTTTGGCGTTTGGTTTGGCATTTTCTTAGCGTTTCTGTGAATCTTAGCACGGATGGAGAACTATCCCTCCCCCAGCCCCCCTCCTCCTCCTCCGCCCCGTTAAGGTAAGTAGATCTCAGGCTTCAGAGATTCCGACTTGCTGGGGAACCACTCAAATAGAAAATTTAAAAGTCTTCGGGTTCGTGCTTTTTCTCTACCATCACTTTTGGCGGATCTTGCTCTTGCTCCTCTGGCTCTTGCTCCTGCACTGGCTCTTTCGCCTGCTCCTGCTCTTGCTCCTACTGTTGCTCTTACTCCTGCTCTTGCTCTGACGACGCGATAGTTGAGCCGAATCTTGGCATTGCTTGCGGCTGGAGGTTTCTACCCCTCTGTACAACCTTCTATGCCCGAGGACCCGAAACATCCGACAAATCTTAAGCAAGGGTCTCCTCGATTTCAGAACAATCAAGGAAGGACATGCTGTCATAATGATCCGTTGCCTGCCTAGGAAGGCAGGCAGAAGTGTGACCATGGGGGAACATCTTGCCGCAGCAAGTTGAGTCAGAAAACTGCGGGTGCTTGGAAAGTACTCTCCAACTCTGTGTTCTTCTCACCCGCCCAGCTAACCAAGTCGCTCTGGAGCCAACTCCAAGTAGCCAGATCGTGCATGCTAGGTGTTGTCAGTGCGCTTGCATGTGCGACTGGCACTACACCTCAAACATCATAACTCCATCCTGCACTGTGCACCCATTGCATCTTTCGCAGACAGCGCAGACAAGTCTAGTCTAAGGTAGACAATAAAACACAGCAATGTTGTCTTGCAGCGGCATAAGTCTATTGAATATTGCCTCTTTTTGCCCACGTGCGAGCGACGTCACCAAGCTCTGTGGCCAAGCATCATGTACCGCCATGTAGGACCTGTTAGGCAAGTTGGGCAGCAGGTTTGTGGGTCGGGCGAGATATGCAAGTCCAGCTTTGCAATCCCACCGGGCAGTGGACAGCAGAAATGCAAGTTGCCGATCACTGAGAAGGATAGAGATCTCCTGGGCCAGCATCTCAGCAGAAGTGACATCTTGGTCAATCCGTACGGGTAGCTGTTGCTAGCAAGGTAAACCCGTCCTGGATTTTTCTTTGGCTCAGACCTTCCGCAAACTTGACATACCCAAAGGTTGAGCACACAATTTGGACAAACACGAGTTCGAAACACCAGGAGCATTCGTGCAGACTCGGGTTGGGACGCCAATCTTGCCACGACGCCAATGTCGGCGAAACCTCGCAGGCAAGCGCTCTCAGCAACACTACAAGGCAGAAAGCAAATGGAAAGCATCGGCTGAACACAGCAGTGCTGGTATTAGCTGGATTATCCAGGCTCCACGGCCACCTAGAACTCCATGATACTGCATCCGTGCTTATGCTGTCCCATCGTAACTAGTTCCGGCAAGTTCTTTTTGCGAGCCATTGTCAACTGCATGTGGCATGAAACCCATCCTCCCCATGACTGCGGGACAAAAGATATGGGGGTTTCCGAAAATAGGGGACCCTAATATAGTACTCTAAATAATAGGATCCTTAATACAAGGACCCCAAAATAAGGTACCCCTAATTTTCTGAAACTCCCATATCTCAGCACAAGTCCCTATCCATCACCGAGGGCCGCACTTGTTGTAGCGAATCTTGGTGCCAGTCTTCAGACGGAACCACTGAGGCAAGGGTCTGTTCTGCTTGATCCTTGCAGGAGGAGCCACTCCATGCTTGCAGGCGGATTCTTAAAAGTCGCAAGGATTCGGAAATATTCGGAACACCGGGTGGCATGGTCAGACTAGTTTGTCGCTAGGCTGAAAACAAACACAACTCTTTTGCTGTTCCGAGGTTGGAGATCTTGGGCTTAGTAAGTCTGGTGCTCGAACTGCTCAAATTAAACGTGTGGCCGCACCGTAGCATGACGAACGTGCATCGCCGACACGCACAACACGGAACTGAGGCAACAGGCTTTTTGGCCAGCTTGATCTTCATAGTGTACGTCTTCACAGCCTTCGGAATCGCAGGTTTGTTGTGTAGGCAGTTCAGAGCACACAGGATTGAAGATATCCCTTCCCGAGCACCCGACCCCCATGATGTGTAGATCCAAGTCAGGGCACGGCACGGCTGGGCAAGAAAACCCTCAGATGACCGGTGAGCCAAGTTCCGCCGGAGCGCGACGAATCAGCCAACTATGGAGCAGTGTAGGAGATCATCTCAAAGCTGAACCGCCGAAACAAACGTCTTTTGCGGCCGAATTCGTTACGGCCTTTACGGCGTGATTTCTCCGCATTTGGTGCGCTTCGTACATGGATCCTCAAATGTTTTCTGTGAGCTTATGACTTATGAAGCTTTTGGGGCTGAACCGCCTCCACAGACATTGATCCCACCAGTAAGCAGAACTTGCCGAGCACAAACATGTCGCAAACACTGATTTTGAAGCTCTAATAAAATACATATGTACTATACACATCAATCCATGCATATGCACAGACATCACAATTCACATGCGAGTGCTGTTTAGTCCACGTATGGGTCCTCAGTGCATTGGTTGCTCAGCACTTACACGCACTCATACACGCACAGAGAGAGGGAGGGAGAGATGCACAGACACACACACACACAAACAAACAAACAAACAAACAAACAAACAAACAAGCACGCACGCAGTCACAAAGACCCGTCTCCCGCATGCCCGCGCGACATGCCGATGCCCACGCAAACAAAGTCAGACGCTTGCTTCAGAAGTCTGGCAGGATTGACTTCTAGTTTGCGGCTTCACGAAGCACATGACGACTCTGTATCCGGTCGCACCCGGGATGCCCTTGGTTTCGTACTGGGACCAAACGTCCAACCAAGATGTATTTAATGTCGTGACTCGTGACGCCTTCGAAGGCAGGCGGACGCCGTTTGCAAGCAACACAATCCGGTCCACAACAGGTGCGTGACTGGAGTTGGCGCCATCCCCATGCGCCACTGAAAGTCACAATTGCGTCTTTTATCGCTGCTGGATCAACATATCTCAGACTCTGACTCTCAACTACAAACAGCCCGGCAAGCCGTGCAGCTGACCGTGTGTGTCTTTCAGACTACAGTTGATTATGGAGGGCGGAGGCATTACTGTGAAAGTATCTGTATCTGGCCAGCGAAGGTCAGCTGCAAAGTGCCTGCGCCCGCAGAACCTCGCTCTCTGCAAGCTTCGGAGATTCAACTCGCGGACTGCACAGCGCACTGCAGCGGTGCTCTTGTGGGAAACATGTCCGCATGAATCCGGAGCGAGGTCTCGCTCGAACGAACAGCATTGAAAGCCGCCGATGCCAGTTCCGGTCAATCAACAAACCACGTGTGCCTTTCATACGTGATTCTGGATTCCTTTTTGCCGAGTTTGTCCGGCTCAGGAAGCTTGACTGTGGAGGACGCTCGCGTGATCTTGTCTCTAGTGTGGGAGCATTCGCTCATCTCCCATTTGCCTTCCAGGTCGCCGAGGTATCTGAGCTCCCTTTCCTGATTTGCAACAGGCAGTTTTCGTTCAGACGCCTTCTAGCCTGGTTGACGGTGAACTACTCGCTGATTTCGGAAAAGAAGAGCTATGCCGTTCGCTTCGGACGCCGAAGAGCATCTTACGACACAAGCCATGTCAGCATTCGGTGACTTTGATTCTTTCCGGTTATTGCGAGGGGGAAGGCTGGAAAGTCAAGTCGCATGAAAAAGCTTCAACTCGATTTTGTGAGAGATCGAGAACACAGCCATATTCTCCCGCGTGCAGCGATCGTAGAGGTCGTGCTCCACATCAGGTGAAATTCCATTTGTGCACTCGTCCAGCACCACGAAAGCAGGTCGATGATAGAATAGCCTCGCAAATGCCAGTCGTTGCTTCTGGCCTGGCGATAAATCTTTCTGCCAATCACGGACATCATCGAGTCGGGGCTTCACGATTCTTCCACCGTCATTAAACTCAAGCTGCGCTCGCCCATCGTGCTCCACCTGCGGTGAAACATGCGCCCATCTGAGGCACGTCCTCACATCGTCGTCAGTTCTGCCCGCAGCCAACATCTCCTCCCTGGACTGCGGGTAAATGACCAGATCACGGAGCGAGCCGCACGGCACAAAATTGACTTGCCTAAGCTGGCTGGGTGCTGTGACTTCGGGAGTTGTTTGATGTAAATCAGGTCACCAAGTCTCCATGGACGGTTTACCAGACCAACTATCGACAGAATATGCGAAGCCGAGCTTCGTCAAGAAGTAAATCTCCTGTCAATGTGCAGGCTTCAACTGATGCAAGTCTTGTTTAAAAAGTGCTTGTGAAAGGTCCTTGTCTTCTGGCATGGTGATAGTTCCTTCAACCAGCGGCCACAGCTTGCGGATGACCCGAAACAGACTGGACCTGGGATAATTACGACATGTGCTGCCGAAGTACTTTGGAGATCAGATGCTGTCAGCGCCTACTACCAAGCTAGCTGCACCGCACACGAACGACGTAAAGATTTCCTGTGAGTCCAGATGCATCGTGACGACTGTGCAAAAGTCACAGTCCAAGCGGATAATCAAAGTTCGGGGGTTTTGACTTTAAAGTCGCCTAGGCTAAATTAAGCGAGCCACTTTCCACATCCGTTTCCACCTGTCACCAGAACACGCTGCCCACGCTCCACGGTGAAGTTCAGATCTTTGACGAGGAGTGTGCCATCAGGGCGATAAACAGAAACCTGTCTCTTCACAGAAGTGGAAAACTCTCATTGTCATGAGTTGTCAGTGTGGCTGGCATGTATCTGTCGTCAAGTGACGTGCTCGAACTTCAGGTGGTGGCCTTTTTTGAACACCGGAGGGTGCGGACCTTAGGATGAGTTTGTAACACAAAGCACTCATTGAAGACAAACTGCCCTCCACGTGAAGGACATGGACAACTCTCCCGAATCGGCACATCTGACAAGTACACAGACAACATAACGACTGTCATGGAAGCAGGATTGCTAGCGACGCCCTTGACTGTCGGAAACTGCTTTCGATTGGGTCGAGCTGCCCCGCTGGGCTTGAGCAATCTCCTCACTGAGAACCGGTGGACGAGATTCCAGGCCCAACATGAGCTGGCGCACACGAGTTGCGAAGCCACTCAATCTTCCTATACGGTTCGTAAGCTCGAACAGGTCCTGCCAAACGCGACTGCATGATGGAGCAGCAAATCGGATTGAATTCGTAACATGTCGCGAGTAGCCATGTCTTGACTCAGCGCTTCTGTGCACCTCTACTCAGTTCCGTGCGGCACAGGCAGCAGATGGTTCAAAGCTAAAGCCATCCACAGTGAACTCCTTGTCTGTCCCCAAACTGTACACCCCTGCACCGCACTTTCAGCTCCCCACACGGCCCTCAGGGTTGTATGTGTGAACTGCTGTATGTATGCCTTAAAAGCCTTGAGCAATAAAACAATCCATCCACAGAATCACGTCCATGCATTCCAGTGCCTTGCAAACCCTGTCCTGGATGGCTGTGGCCATGGCCTCCATGTTTCTCCAGGTTGATGTGAAATACTGTGCAATTTGATCACTTGTGAATTGAGGCAGTTGCGCTGGCCGCAGCCGCAAAGGTCTCGCAATGAGAACCAAGCCAATAACCGTGCAGAAATACTTGTTCAGGTACTGCCTGAGCACTTCAGAGTTGAACGAGAGGTTAATGCTTCTCTTGCAGTGGCTGATCAGCTCACCGAAGGAGTTGTTCAGGACGTCTTTCTCCGGCCGTTCTCCACCCAAGAAAGCGATTTGCTCGCAATTGGTGATGAGTTCGGAGTGTTTCCCGCGGAAGTTGCCTCACGAGGCAAGCTTTTGTTCATCCCCCCGCAGAACATGGATTACATCAAGGGTGACGACGGTCTCTCTGACCTCAATCTTGATCCTCTGTCGTGTCTGACGGATGCCCTACCCGCTTACTGGCGCGATTTCTTTCCTCTTCACAGAAGTGTAGCAGATACTGGCATGGACAGGTTTGGAGAAGGTGCTTGGAGTCCCGCAGTCAATCAGTGACAAGGTCAGAGCCGCACAACGCTGTGGTGCAGAAATCTCGGAAGGGGGGGTGCCAGAGTAGGGTAGGCCGACCTCTTCGCGAAGACAAGGCAAAGCTCGAGGGGTTGGGGTTCATGGACATTTGCTCCAGTCTAAGCCGGCAAGTTCTTGCAGCCAACGTTTCGATTCTCTACATGCGGGCCCGGCACAAGAATATGCACGGCGGTTTCAACTCGCGGCCTTCCAATCTCTGCTCGCCGGCCGCCAGCTCACCAAACGGAGGCAACGTCACTGCTGAAATGCAGGAAGCAACTCAGCTGCACCGCGCTGAAACAACTTCACATCATTCGAAATGCATGCCCATGAACCCAACAGCTAAACACCCGCATGGCTCGAGTCCCAAGTTCTCAGGTGCGCACAGGCAAACCAAGAGTAGAGTGTCAACGGTGTTGTGAGGCCTTGAACTCTGCTGAGCTCCACAGAGTACACGAGAAAGTCCACGATGGGCTTCAGGGATTGTGAAAACACTTCCTCGCAGTATGAATGGATTTCAGACTGCACATGGCACCATTCGAAACTGGAACCTCGTTGCCCGGACTTTCACTTTGGAACTCCTTTCTAGGAGCAACATGGCCTCGGGTGAGTCTCAGGTCTCGTCCAGCAAATATGAAACAGTGCCTTTCAAGTCAGTTCACTCGACCTTGACTTGGCTGATAATCAGTTACGTACCAGTGTAGCATAACCGTGTGCAAGGATTCTTTCAAGTACTGTAGAGCACGAAAAGTTTTGAAATTAGGCAAAGCAGGACTGCACTACTTCCATTGCCGATGACAAGAGCTGGGCAGAAGATGAAGAAGCTGGACAACAGGATCTTGCAGCCATGCCTCTGCAAACACATCCGAAAACCTCTCCACGTCTGAGGCGATTTGGTGGTCGCAGTTGTCAATCTTCTGTCCGACTTTGTTGGCCTCCGGGCACAGGGAACTCACCAGCGTAAGCGTGCTTTCGCTCTCGACAGGAACAATCCAAACGCAGATCATTCAACTGCCATGCCTTGTAAAAGATCATATCTTTCGAGCGCATGTACTTTTCGTGGCACCAAAGCGTAATCTTTTCACGAACTTGCAGTCGAAGAGCACTGATGTAGTACCTCAGTGACGAAGATGCACAAATGGCTTCAACGGGAAGGGTTACCTGTTTTGGGCACTGAGCTCACAAACCCATTATCGATTGGCTGTTCTCTTCCTCTCCAGTGTGTCTTTCATGGGAAGGGTTAGGTAGCTGGTGCTCGCTATACCACTCAATCGTTTCAAGCATTTTGCGACAAGATGCTTCAGAAGGGCATTCAGCCCCGAAAGGAAGACCTCAATTGTTGGTCCGATCAGCAACTGAGCCAATTTTTGATGGCGTTTTCCAATGCATTGGCACACAAGTAACGCCACGCTCTGATCTCAGGAAGCTGCTGTTGCGCCGGCAAATTCCGAAACCAATCTGGCCAGTCGAGAAAAGTCTTGCGACACCACCGAGTTCACAATACTGCCCCAATGTTTGGAGACCTGGGACGAAGACATGAACGAGTTCAGCACGAATGACAGCTTCTGGCATATGGACGCTCATGGAACGCAAACCGCTGACATGAAGCGAAAGCCATAATCATTCTCCCTCCCTATAAACTATGCCGCTCAGGTTTAGTGCAGATGTTATATGGAGGGGTTGGGGCTAGCTGCAGAGATGAATATGCAATTGAGTCATGCAATGCAAGCTCCTTAATAATCTTCACTTGTTTCCATGTGCGAGTGCCATCATCAATCTGAGCTTCATACCCAGACGGACCCAACTGTGCGCAGCAGCAGCATCAGTGTTAGTTTCGTCACTGTGAGGAACTCGCGGGAGCTACACGTTGAACCAAGGATGAATCGCATCAAGTCCTTAGATGCAGTTGGGCACAGAAAGCTCTGATTCCACGTCCACCGCTTTGTGCGCACAACATTTCCCATATTTCCCTCTTCCAGCAAGGAATCTGTCAAGCCTTCGACCTGCTCTCTTGGTGCATTCTTGACCTTCTGGTTCTTGGCCTGCCGTGTTTGGCAGTGTAGGTTCTCTCACGCTTGTAAAAGTGGCCAAGCAACACTGCAGGACTGTCGTCGGCCTTGTAAATTTGGACCCGCTCGCTGAACTTGCTGACCTCAGCTTCCGGATCTTTCACACTTTGATGAAGGCCACTCAGCAACGCCTGAGGACGCAGCGAAGCTGAGGAAAAGAAGCCCTGCACCAAGGCCCAGCACACCACTTCGCCTGGGGTGCTTCACCATGACAACCTGAGAGACAAGGCGCCCTCAATATGCGGCGGTCTGAACTTGCACATGTGCGAGGTGTCCTGTCACATGCATATGCAAAGTACATTCTGCGAAAAAAATGTGGACCAGAGGCACCGGCCTGTGGCACAGGTCTGGACATCATTCGCGGCATGGTTGCTGCGATCTCGCTTGACTACTAAATTCTAGCACTCCCCTTGTCACTGTTGGGGGACAAGCTGCATTGCCGTGAACTGCAAGTTCCGGGCAACTATATCACTGGAGGACTGTGCTGGACGTGAACGGGCAGTCGACGACTCAAGCATACATAAAGGCTGCCGAACCCATCCCACACTCGACTGCTGCCTGCAGGCTGGCCAGCGGCGCAATGCAAATCTTTCTTTTGGTTGCTGGGCATCAGGTCACTTCTGCATGCGAAATGACTGGCTTTCATTGTCTCCCTTGCACCGATGGCAGTGCTCACTTGCAAGATGCACAAGGCTAGACTTACGCTCGTGAGCCGCACGCAGGCTTTTCTCTCTGCAGCAAGCTAGTCTGGACCGAGTTTAGGCCTTCATCCTCTGCAACTGCTTCCGAAAGACCGCCCTGTCTTTCAAACATCTTTCCGTCGCTGCTTCTATGGCATCTCCATCGGGTGAATATCCCTGAAAGCTGGAACTCATGAAGTTTAGATAAAGAACATGCCGTATGCCACTCTCCTCGTTTGCCATGCCCCAGTGAACTGTTCGAGAGTCGTAAATAATAGCATCACCCACACTCAACGGAGCTCCGACAAGAAGGTTCGGAGGTGGTGCCAATGTATTAACATCCGGAGGTCTCAGCACATGCAACACCAGGTTGGATCGCATTTCCTCAATGTCGGCTTGAATCCGCAGCCAAGCTACAAAGCTCAGCTCGTTTATGTGTGTTATCTCATCCCCCACCTGCAAGCCCAAAGTCGTGCAACCTTGAATACCCCGAACTCTAGCGCAAGACCTTCCGATCTGAAGGTCGCATCCGTCGAGGAGGGCTGATGCTTCTCCGTCCCAGTGCAAGGAAAGAGCTTGTCGTTTCACACGTCTGCCTGCAGCTATGCGCTTCCGTGCATCCATCCTTGATTCACCAATGCAACGCCAACGGCGGACCTCTGCACCGGCACGGTCGAGCAACTCTACGTCGTCATGAGTCCCCGGGCAAAACGACAACGGCGCGAAGCCATCTGTCAAGGGCTGTAAAGGGATGTGAACAGAAATACTTCCCTCCTCTTCTGTGTCGGTATGTGCATTCATGCTGCTGGTTCCTCCGTCTACGCTGATTACCAATGCACTCTCCAGAACAAAATCTTGCCCCAGGCAGTCGGATAAAGGAGCCAGGAGAGCTTTGTCGCGACCCATAAGAGGCAGTCCGTTGAAGGGTGGCTGAAAAGGAATGTGGATGGCTTGCCGTTGAGCTCGCAACTCCCCAAACTTGAAGTCTGCAGCCTCGGCGGTTTCCCGAAAATCTTGGAATGCGAGCAGAAGTGCTTCGAGTTCTTCTGCATCGAAGAGCTCAGGAATCATGGCCACTCCATGTAGTTTCAAAGTAGTTCCGGGGCCATGCTTTAGAGAAATGCGCCTCAGCTCGGAAAGAGTCCAGCACTTTGCATCTCCCTTTCCATCATGTTCATCTCTGCTCGCCACTCGTGCGTGCTGTGATGCCCAGGCTGCGCTGTCGGGTAACGCAGGCACCCATGCTTGCCAGGCAAGCAAAGCCCCCATACATTGGAAACAAAGGCCTGGCGACCATCTCGGCATGGTCAGAAGCAGACCCGATAGCAAGGAGGTGGTAGGGAATATAGAGGTGGTGGAAGTAGAAAGCTTACGGACCGGAGCTCCGATTAAAATTGATTTCAATCAAGTGCTTATGAAGCCAACGCCTAGTGCCGCAATTGGAACTGTAGTTCCGTGTAAGTGCACACTTCACCGTAACTTGCCTATAGGCTGAAGATGGGCAAAGGGAACACTGGGGACTAGTTGCAGAACTTACCGGTTTATCATGTAAACTTCGGCATAGACAGAGCCAACACCGGGAGGGTGACAAACACCTCGTAGCTGGTTAGGGGTGCTGGCCTGGTGAGAAACAGAATCAGCAACCAAAGCTGGCTCACCGCACCGATTCCGTAGATGCCCGCACAAAACCACCAGAACTCTGCACCAATATCGTTGCCAGCACCACGAACCCGGTTCCAGCAGTGCACCAAAAAAGAAGGGTTCTCGCAAAACCCTAACCGAACCTAACCCAATCTGACAGCAGTGAGCCCCTTGACCAGCCGCCACGAAATTTATTCCCCCCAGCATACACTGTCTGGACTTGCTTTCGCCGAGATTGTACACTTGCCTGCCAAAGGCCTACGCCGGACTTTCGTCATGGGCTTAGGCACAGCCACCTCGGGTTCCTTGGGAACCCAAGTTGGCAAAAAAGGGGCTCTTAATCCGGGGCTTGGGCTTGTCGTGTTTGTGCGCAGAAGGATTTTTTGTTCCAAGCGTCTGAGCTGTGACAGTCATCAAGCCCAAGCAAAGCTGTGCAACTCAACAGCCGGTATGTAAAGCTTGCCAACTGCGTCCGCAGGTCGCAAGATGCACCGCAGCACAAGGTTAGTGCGCAGAGTGTCATGTTCATTTCCGGACCAGGACCGGGGAGCACAAACAGCCTGTTAGCATCGCATACTCAGTCACCTACGAGCAGCGGATCACCGTGTCGTGAGGGGCTAATAATACGTAGCTGATTGTGCATGGTTAAGATCGTACACCAGACAGTGAGACCGCAGGGCCACAAGGCAGCTGGGGCATAGCCAACCCTCAGTTCTGCTTTCCCTTCTGGCTGTCCTTGCTTTGCATCAACCTGGCGCCCAGGCTCCCTTCAACCTCTGACTCTAATCACCAGCCTGCTCGACTCGGGATCTTGGAGCCAGGCTGGGAGGCCACGGAGGCCCTGGGAGCTCCTGAGGGCAGCAGGCGCACCTTCTTTGGATGGAAGAGAGCTTCTCTAAGACCGCCCTCCTGCCAGAGTCTTGCCGCCTGGAATGGCGCCATCCTGTGCATTGCTTCTGGCGGCGCAAGTGGCAATCAGGGACAGCATGGGACAGCACGTCACAGCACCAAGCTCGGAGCGAAGGGCACCACTGAGGAAGTATCAGCGCCACGGATCTGAGTGCAGATGCTAAGCGCCAGCCGTGCATGATGTGAACCACACCCGGACGAATGGGGGAGGAAGGGGATGACCAACATCCATGCGGTCAGGGCACCGACGGCCACTCGCCAGCGGCAGGGTCTTCTTCGACGGGCCCTCAAGGCGTCATGGAACCGATCGTTAAATAGTCCAGCACTCACAACTAGCCGTAGCCAGGCGAGGTTCCAGGCACGACCAGCGACAGGCATGTGTAGCCCTCTCAAGCGTTTTGTCGAGCAAGTTGGATTAGCAGCTGTCACTGGGAGTTTGCCAGTTTTTCTTCGAAGGTATGAAAATTCGCGAGTATCTAAGCGCTGCGACATTATGCCCAGTGGCCATGTGTTTTCCAGCGTGCTTCTGGAACAGGGACCTCAGCAAAGGGGGACTGCACCCAGATAAAGTTCGAGGCTGCATTCTTTGCTGTGAACAAGGTCTGTGTGCCCATGTGGGGTGCTCTTATGAAAATGCCAAGCAGCTATCCAATGGATCACCTGGTTTCTCAAAGGCATGGGCATTTCTGCTGTTTGGGAGCGGAGATGAAGCGAGCAGCGAGCTGAGGCGAGCCACTACGTTCATGGCATTTATGCTGCTCGCGCTGGCCACCAATGCCCCCCCTGTCCCAAGTCTCAAGTTGATCCTCGGGTGGCAGGACCAGCGGCTGCTACGTCTTGAACCTCTATTTTGCTTGGCTGTTCTGGGCTGACCCCAGACTCCCTTCCGAGCATCTTGAAGGTCTTGTCTGCATCTTCCAACGGGAACTCCGAGACGCAGAGGCCATGAAATATACTGACAGCCTCAACTTCAAGCTTCGTAAGCTGCCGTGTTGCTGCAGCCGGAGCATGGCAAGTAAGTGTTGTCTGAGGAAGAAGCCAGCATGAGACCCAGTGCTCCGAGGCAATTCGTGACAATGGCCAGACCTCAAAGCTCTCGAGACACCCTCATGGGACTGCAACTCAAAAGCATGCCAGGCGGTGGTTGGCGTCACATGACGTATTCCATCAGGCTCCAGCACTTGATGCAGTTGTGATCATTCTTGCTGCGCATCCGCTGGATGTCAGTCCATGCATTGACAAGTCCTGCATGTGTCCCATTGTAAGCATGTTAGGCCCAGTTTGTGCATTCGAGCACGCGTGTCCTGTCGCGATTGAAAGGAAAGACATTCCGGCACACCCCTTGGAGGCTTGGTCGCAGATGCGGCAGTAGGACCCAGCACCCAGAGAGCTCAGGTTCCTTGGTACAGGAGCCCACAACAGCCAAAATATCTTCAAGGTCTTGCGGATGGTGGCCCATGTGCAAGACCAATGTGAAAGGGGAAGCGCGGGGGGCAAACGGCTTAAAGGCTTTGCAGGTCTGGGCCGAGCAGCTCAACACAGTTGCTGGCGCTCCATTGGATCACCTTAGGCTTCAAGAACTTCGCGATGGAGCACGGTGCCAAAAAAGGGGCAGATCTGGCCTTGTAGATGTGGAAATTCTTGCTGTCAACCAGCAGCGCCTCCAGCCCGATGGAGACTTTCGCCTCTAATCCCTCACATCTGTCTGTCCTCAGCTGGCACTGTCTGGAAGCAGGCCGGCTCCGCTGTTCGTGTGTTCCTACTGGTAGTCATGACCGCCGAATTGCGCAGACAAACCATGCATGCGAAATCTCAGCTTTTCATAGCTGCGTGCAGATGAGGCAAGAAGCTTGATGCACTCGTAAGTTCCAGACGCCTGATTCAGGCATGCACGACCCACGTTAAACGCTTCGCAGACATGTTGCTGAAGACTCAGACTGATGCTCCAAGCGGCCCAGGGGAAATCGTTCAGGTTCCCTTGATTCGATGAAAGAGCAGCAGCAGGCATTGCCTGCAAAGGATATACACATGCTTGCCCTGTCATGCGGTGATGTCGTAGCATTCGACCATCTAGAGACCAAAGCACTTTAAAGCACTATGTGGTGAAGTCCCAGCTTCTCGCAGAAGCATGCTGACGCAGGTCAAGCAAAGTGAAAGGAACCTCGGCTGAGAAGGCAACGGAAGCTTTACAAAGAACCATTTCCGCGAATCTGGAAGACAACACCCCATGCTTCGCAGACACAACCACATGCATGATGCCGCACGCCAATGTGCAAGGAGCTAAGCAACATGGCTAGCTTGCGCAAATTCCCGAAGACTCTGCATCCTCTCTTGCCGAAGAAGAAGCAGCACCTTCCATGAGTGACGGTCTAGACCAGTAAGACCAGTACAGTAAACTCTCCCAGACAAGCAGCAACCGTTAGTAAGTGTTCAAGCAGTAACCACTCAAGCTCGATCACATGCTCGCATCGCCAAGGCCTGTTGGCTTCGCACCATCTGAATGGACAGCCTTGTCGCTGCAGGCCTTGGTTGAATACCCGGTGACTTACATGTCCCGGTCCACTGGTGCTAGTGTGCTCATGGCATCCGGCACAAACACCACTTTGACAAAGCTGTCAACGGACAGGCCAAGCCCTGTACACCTGGAAGGGCGAATTTGTGGAAAAGGAATCTTGTCCTCAGTTGTGACTCGCATTCCGCTCGATTGGAAGAAGATCCAAGTTATTTCGCGGACTGCTGATCCAAGGCAGGTTTCCAGGCAGCGTTCAATCGCGTTGCCACAGCGCGCTAGCCTGCACTTTGAAATGCTTAACGAGGATGTGGACTGATTATTACGGCTTCTTGACAAGAATCCCGCCCGATCCTTGACAACTTCCTCGGCCGTTCCGTGGCCGACCCATCAGCTGCAGCACCAAACACCGTCGGAGCAGGAAGCACCAGCCCAGGTCCGTCTGCTTCAGAGATCGCCATCCGAAGCTGCGTGTTGGTCTGCTCCTCGTCGTTCTCGCCCAAAGTGCTGATGTCATCGGCATCATCAGCTCGAGCCATATCGACTCCCGCCTTGCTGCGCTCCACTTAGACCATGGCCTCAAATGAAGCCCCAACCGAGCTCATGAAGCCGAGAAGCTTCGGGTGAGTGTCATCTGCCAGTCTCACAAAGCATCACAGCATGGCTCGTGCATGGCTTCAGTCGTTTTTTGGCATTCCACAGTGTTCGCAACGGGGAAAGTCAGCTCCTTTCGCCACCCATCGGGCCGCAGAGGCTGAGCTCCGTCGGATCCTAACTGACTCCTACCGACTCCTGGCCGCACAACACCGCCGTTTGGCCGCTGCGGTCAGGAGTCACAGAGGTCGTGGCCGCAGCCACGTGGTTTCCCTCACTGCACGACACAAACTGAGCAAGATCCACAAAGGAAGCCCTTGTTGCCCATCAGCAACAATGCCTCGTCACAAACCTGCAACTGCGCGACTACATGCACGTCCTGATAGCGGGCATCCAACCCCGTCCTCTTGCAGCTCTCGATCTTTGCTCTGCTTCGCTACTCCTGGGTTGCACACGTGCTGTTTAGATGCGAAGTGCCGATGCTGACATATTAGTGATGGTAAGCCTCAATCCTATATTCATCGAGACATGTCATGGCAGCTGCTGACCATTTTCGAAGACCTCTGCAATGATGATTGGTCGAAGGCAGCAGAAGCGTGCAGGTGCTGCTTAGCTCTCAGATCAAAAGACACGTCTCCGACAATCTAGATGTAAACACCTGAGTTTACAAAGTGCATCACGGTCCTATTCATCTGCGGTTGCCTTCAACAAACGGTGCCGGTGTTCCGGCATCGGAACCCACATTCCTACTGTGCTGGTGTAGTACAGTCCAGTGGGTAGCACCGGACCCGACCCTTGAAACGCATCCAAGAAGTCTGCCAAGGAATTCGTTAAAATACGTGCCCCGCACCGAATGCCGGGTGTCTGTAGTCTAGACCTCCGACTTTCTTTCCGCAGGCTTTCATGCATAAGACAGAAGGTGCTCTCTGTCTTTTATAATTACTGCAGGCTTCGCTGCAAGGCAGCCATGCTTGAAATCTACAATCAAGGCCTGTCACGACTAGACCTTCTGTACAGATCGAGGTTCGATGAGGCCTGCCCGTATGGCTGCGATTTTTGCCTTCTTGCGCTCTTTGAGTTCCCCGGGGGGGCACATATGGCAGTAGTCGCATAAGATAGCATTGGAGCAGCCTCTAGATTTCCAGAACCAGGCACAAGGCTTGCACTGCCCCGTGCCGTGAAGGGCGGAGCCCTGTGAAGGCACATCTGCTGACAAGCCACGTTGTTGCTCAACGGAATCCGGAAGATACTCGCAGGTGGGCGGCAACATTGCAAGTGCCGAGGGAGCCTGGCGTCCGTCTGCACGCGTTTCCGAGTTGGAGCTGGCCTCAACATTCTGCTCCTCAGACTGCGATGAAGTGTAGTTCCACGTTGGAGCTTTGGAAATGACTTTGTTGGATCCTCGATGTGCATGGCTGTGGGGCAAAACCAATCCGCTTGTATTGGGGACAAACTCCTGGGCATTGGCATTAAGACGCGGCTTTGGCTTTGGCAGTTGCTGCACTTGTGCTGTTGTGACTGACGGCATGCCAAAGCTGCAGCCCTTATACATCGCATGGGGTGTTGGCGTGGATGGCCAACACCCACCCTTGTGGATCCGGACATCCTCGTAGGCATCTCCTGTCAAGGCAATTTCTCAACAACAAGCAATGAAAACCACCAGCAATTTTTGCCAACTCAGGGCAAGGCGACAATGCCTATACTCGATGCCATGATGCTTTGGAACACGTGTCCTGAAATGTAGGATTGGCACGACGGCGACCGAGTCGTCTGGTCCTGGCTTGCGGGAGTGCCCAGTGCCTTGGAACAGAGGTCACAGGGTATGAAAATCGAAAAAAGCCTGATTCAATCTGGTTGCTCTCATAATCTCCACTTTCTGCACCGTGTCTGCGATGGCGACGTTTACCTGTCGCCGTGGCAGCGGCAAGAAGGGATGACCCATTAGAAGACCAGCCAGGGTGTGCTGAAGTCCCACGGAGCAAAAGTCAAACACGCCCCGTCTGCCTCTGCTATAACTTGAGCCGGGAACGCAGCGTTTCAAAGAGACTTTGAGCTGACAGCTTCGAACTCTGGGCCGGGACCAGAACAGGACTCGAATTCCTCCGAGGCTCGGGAAAAGAACTGCAGGGACTTCCGAAATTTTGGCTCCTCGGCTCTAGGGCTCCAGGGCATTCATCACAATTTGTGTTCTGCTGGCCGAGAGTCATCGGCTTCGCCCATGAGATCCAAGACTGAAGTACCCAGGCGGAGTTGCTGCAGGACAGCTTGTACCATCTCCTTATTGCTGCTGGCAGGTCGCAGGCACAAAGGATGCCCTACACCCTCTGGCTGGTTACATGTAACGAAGCCATAGGCAAGAAACAAGGTTCAATGCTTTGCTCCTCCCCTCTTTTTCAACTTCGTTCAGCTAGTCTACCGTCTATCTCATCTCTCCCTCTCCCCAAGTCACCCTCTCCATCATTCCTGCATGCAGCTCTGTGGCCATGTAATTCTTGCGCCTCGGTTGCGGCAGGGAGGGTCAGGCCTTCGACGTCGCTCTATATTGCTAATGCCGAAAAGCGACAGGCAAATTCCATCTTCTTCAAAGCCTGGCAAAGGCACATGGCTGCACAACCCGAGGCCGATCCGTCGGGAATTTTGGCAGGCCAGTGCACGCCTAATGTGCGCTTCTCGCTTGCAAGGCTTGGGCGGCTTCAACATTCCTCAACCGATCTTGCGGCTCGAGGGGCTGAGATAAGCGGATGCCTCTTCGTCTGACCGGATCCTTACACTGTCACGACAAACACAAGAACCCCAAAGACCCATCACGGCTTTGGCGCGACCCATCTCAAGACTGTAACATCCTGAAATCTCTAAACCTTCCGTCTTGCTTTACGAGCAGATTGTGGTGACAGCTTGTGAACACCCATCCGACTTCTGTGCCGCCACGGCACGCGTAGAATTTATTGGTTGGGCTTCCACACTCGGCTCCGTTCTGAACGTACGGCGGCGTTGGAAAGACATACCTCAGCACAAGGCCACATGTCCTCGACCACAATAGACCTTGACCTGGACATCTTTAACATGCTCACGAACATGCCCTTGTTCTGGCCTTTTGTTTGTGGGGTTTTTTGCTGGGGAGTCATGCAGTCAACCTGCAGTCAACCTACAATGGAGTATTGCTGTCGACGACACCACATCCAGTGACTTCTCTTCTGACCATCCCGCACCTCCTGCAATGCCGTGGCGTAGTGCTTCCTGTCAGGAAGGAGGCTTGCATCACCAGACGGCGGTCTGGCCTCACACGCTTGTTGGCTGCGTTGCCTTTGCTGATCAGCAAAACGTCGTATGTTGAACGGGTCGTCGCTTTCGAGCATGGCAGTGTTTGATGCGAGCGCAATACTTAGACTCCCAAGGCTCCGCTTGCATCATACTTCACTCAAATCTCGCCTGCTCTGGTGACTCTACTGGTTTTGGTCGGCTGTACGAAAAAATACCGCAACATGATGTACACTTCCACATTCCACGAACTCATGTCGTGGTACCCCCAGCTTTGCAGGGTCGAAAGGCTGCAAGCCTGAGCCAAGCACCAAGCCGAGCAGATCGGAGAGCTGCTTCTGAAACTGCTCACCGCTCACCGATTTCCGAGCACAAAATATAGCAAAAAACGTGCTAACTCCCGTGGCACATGCCCGCTCTGTCTAGCCGTTTTCATTGCAACGAGTTGCCCTGTAAGAGAACCTGCCATCTTTTTGAACGAAGCGATTTGCATCCGGCTCTTGTAGCCAGCTCGACTGCCAGAAGCTGCTAGAGGCATGCATGAAAGGGGCTGTCAATGCAGTCCAAGGGCCCAAGGAGCTCAAGGTCTCCTACCACCTCCCGGCAGGACGATCTGCTCATCAGCCCCTTGAGCGGATTTCGAGGGCTCCTGGCTTCAGACTGCAGCCCAAAACTTGACACAGTCATAGGCTGATGAAGCGTGCAGTCACAGCACAAACTCAACCAAGAGCTTCGATCTTTTCCGCTTAGATAAGAAGCGGGGGCACCTACCTGGCCGTGCAGCCGACTCTAAGCATCCCGAGGTACATTTTGCCGCAATGCCTTGCTGTCTGCGTCATTCTGCGTCCCCTGGACGTGCTTTCAACAAGTCGAATCCAGCCGAAGATAACAAGATGAAGACGATGCTGGTACCTGGAGCTCTCCTCGCCACCGGCATTGGTACACGGTCCTGCTGCCTGTTTTTGATTCGTCTATGCACCGGGACCACTGCCGCCAACAGCATTGCATGATAGCCGTCATTGCAAATCGCTTCAGTAATAGATCAGCGCCGCGACCTGCTTGGGCATGCTAATTCCGCCGCCGTGAATCACCTGTGACACCGTTACCAATAGCAACATCTATATCCAATGGATGGCTTTGGCATCGAAGGGCAACCCACCAAGCCTCGCAGAGGCAGACCGTGTTCGACCGTGTTCATGAATCATGGTGATGGAATGACACATCTCATGTCTATCTTGACAAGAGCCACCGCCAAACCTACCACCGTTTGAAGGATTCGGCGAATTCTGCCCAGGAGCCGCTGCAACCGCTCCTCCGGATCCTGCAAAACAGCCCCCAGGGCTCCCAAGTCTCAAATTTGACAGTACCAGGCACACAAGTGTCCTCCTTGTGCAACACTTCCCATCTTGGCCACCTCCCTTCTTCAGACCATTTACCTCAGTTTTGACGGCCTTGGCCCTTGGCAGCCTCGCACATGCAAACCCTGCAGACCGGCAAATGACAAATGCACCATATTGCCAGGGGCAGATGAAGCGACGAAGTGACTATGACTACGTAATGCAGCCGTGGTTCAAAGCGTGACAGTAAGGTCGGGAGTTGCGAAAGTCCAGCTTGAGTCAGACGGTCTTATCCTGCCATTCGCCGGGTGTAGACTGGTAGAATGGCACCAAAGCTGGTGTAAGGCACTTTTGAAGCCCCGCTCCGGTGTGCCAGCTCATCGTCGAAGAGCGTGTCTTCCCCGACAGCCACAAGAAGCCTCTGCTCCTGGCAAAACGAGCGCCAACATTGCAGATAATTGCAGCTTCATTTGGCGCTAGATGCTTCCTTCCGCTGAACGGAAGCTCTTACATGGCTAGCCCTTGGTTTCTGAGCCAGCCTGCGCGAGTCTGCAGCAGAACCACTTCGCTTTTAATGCTCCTAGTGTACGACTGCAAAAGCCACCTAGTCTACTAATCCTTCCTCACCAGTGCTCGACCAAGGCAGGACGACGTGTAATGTCAATGCCTACACATTAATCCCCCGTCCTGCGCTAGATTTCTACTGATTCTCGGGTTTCATGGCGTCCACGTGGTGACATAGCAAAATTAAGCACGCAAGACCGCACAGCCTTCAACATTCCGGCTCTTAAACCCGCTAGAGACGGACCGTGCTGGCTCAGAAATGACCAGAGATGCTGACAATGCTAACACATCCGAAGCACGTGCAACCCCTACGGGGGAAGGATTCTACTTGTGCTCGCGGCCCGCATGATCTTGCCTGGAATCGAACCAGGATGTCCTTTGCCTTCCGGAGAGGCCCGAGAACCCAATGCGCGTGGACTTCAGTTTTTTGATCTTCAAGAGTGAAGTCCTGGTCAGGTATCGGCTGTGCTCTGCACTGCGGGTACGCTTTGGAGTGGGGAACGCTTGCAACTCAAGGCAGGCTAATGCAGGTCCATGTGTCCAAGACAGCCGGATTTTTGGAAGCTTTTGCCCGTTGGGTGCTTTCGTCCGTCGGCACTTCGCAGGGGATGTCTCTTGGACAGGAAATATCAGACCTTAGTGTGGGTGCATGGGTGCTGCAAGCGACTCAATGCGGCTCAGCATCTCTTGTGCCAATCCACATTGTATCGAGGAGCCCTAACAATAGCAATGCCTCCTTAGCTCGTCCGTCGTTGGGCTGCTGCGCCAGTAGCGCCTGCAGAATGTCCGCGGCCTGCATGCAGGAAAGGGACGACACGGCAGGCCGAGGACACCAAATCCATGCGCGACATGTCTTCTGCTGCCAGCCTCGTCTTTCTGGCCCAAGTGATGGAGGCAGCACGCCAACTCCAAATAGGCCTGCAAACAGCTCTGCTCAGCCATGGTTCTTTGAGACTGACTGTGCCGAGAAATGACGGGCGGAACAACGGCACCCTGCCATCGCCTGTGGCAAGCTTGGGCAAGTGGCCAGGGCCTGCCTAGCCGTCACAGAGGCATCAGCAAGCTCCCCAAGCTGCCGATGAGCTCCAGCCATTTCCTGAAAGCAGTGAACATAGCATAGCATACCGCTAAGCAAGGATGCAAACGCACGGGCCCAGTCTCGGCGAGGGTCAGTCAATGCCCAGGCGGCTCTCCGAAGGTCTCCACCTCTTCCCAGTCGATTGACACATGCGGGCAGGATTCTTGCAGCTTCGGCCGGACCACCGTAGTTTCCAAGACGGGCCCAATGACCCCACCCAAGGTCCTCTTCCAGCTGGGTTGTCTTGATGATGCACCCAGTTGGAGCCGATTCCTTGCCGGCTGCTGGGAAGCAGTGCCAGTCGTGCGATGGCAACTGGTTTGCCTCCAGTTGCCTGGTCCCAAAAAAGCCCACGTTCTTCCTGCCGACGATCCAACCCGCACTCACATCGCCTGCTTTGGTTGCTTGCACTTCCATGGATAGCTGAAAACCGAATCGGTTCTCGAAGACGGGAAATCCATTGGCCGCTTTCCTCGAAGGCTCGTAGACACCATCACTTTCTGCCATGCTGGAGCCTTGCAACTCTACAGCCTCAATGCAAAAATCCATCACGCCCTCGTGCAGCATCTTCGGCGCTTCAACTACGCAGACACTGACCGGCCAGGCTTTCGGCAGCAACCCATCGCATGGTTCTCCGAGCTCTTGCAGCAGTTCCTTGCACTCTCGCTGTAGCCTCCGTGTGTTGCTATCGGCCTTCCCGTTCGCGCTTTCGATCCTGAAAACTGAGGACCAGGGCAACTAGCTTGACCCACCCTTGTCCAGGCATATCTTGCTAGTCCTTTTCAACTAGTCTGGCTTTCAGCGCCTCTTTAAAGTCTAACTAATCGGACTGATCGGACCGACCAAGGTACTGTATCCAGCACTGCTTCACAGCCAAGGCTGCTGCACCCTCATTGCTCGCAGCATTGAGCAAGTGGGCCTTGAGGAGCAAGGCTTCTGGCAGGCTGTGTCGCAGTTGCAGCGCTGCCTCTACCTGATCCAAAAACAGCGCTGGTGGTCGGATGGGAAGGCATGCCGATTCATTTGAGATCCCTGCTCTTCCGAGCCTCTGTTAAAGCTTGGTCTTCGCGGCTCAAGGTACGAAGCAATGCAGCCAGCTCGGTGTGAAGCATGGCTCGCTGTGTCCTGTCTGCTCGCTGCTTCTTCACAGTCTGCAAAGACTGGCGAAAGGCCTGGCCAAGAAGCGGCTATTTGAGCTCGGGCATACGGGATGCGCGGCTAACCGGTGCGTACAAACCTTTGTAAATTTTGGCAGACGGGTCCTTGACTGCTAGTCTCTGATTTTCGATAGTCCCGGAAGCTGCTCGTCGACGAGCTTCCTGGGCATAGCCTTCCGCTGTGGCATCGGCGCTTGTTAGCCATCGCAAGTTCGGTGCAGGGGCATCGCCCTCGAACGGCTGCCATCCATGTAAAGGTAGCTCTTCCTTGGTATCCGTCGGGCAGCCATAAGCTGGCACACCTGACCTTCCAAGAATCCATCCCCACTGCAGCTTGCCCGTGTCAGCAGCCGGGCCCTGGCACACGGTCAAGCTGAAATCGCTTAGGTTGCCGTATACTGGACAACCCTCACAGAGAAAGCCCTCTTGAAGCTCATAAACTCCATTTACATTGTCGCAACCAGCACCAGCCACAACCAGATGCGACAGCTCCGGCATCTCTGGCTCCACGGGGCGTGCGGTATGGGCAAAACATTACAGGCAACCTCCGCTTTGTCAACTCTAGGCCGCTACGATGCAAACGAAGCTTTACTACCTCTCGTCGCCTAGCAAACCTGCACACCGCTGAACATCAGACGTATCTGCACAGTTTCCTGCAAGCTGTCTTGAGCTGCCATCGAAAACTTACTGGGGCTTCCCACGCCAAAACTGGCGAGCTGTGCTTGCCACAGAGCTGAAACCGGAAACGAGCGATCCGGTGGAATCCTGAAAGCTCTTGCGGGACTCTTGCTGCTCGACAGCCTCGGACAGCAGCTACCCGTGCCAGGCAACTCCAAAAAACACAACGACTCAGGCCGAAGAATCGCAACGTAAGCAGAGGACGTACCACACACCTCCGAAGAGGCTGAAGATGATACCGGCCATGACGAGCGGAGCCTGCAATCGTCTTCCTTTTTCACATGGGACGCTGGAAAGGTCTCCGGCATTTGCCAGGGCATGTTTAGGGTCAAGATCTTGCATGCCCTTGGCACAGGCCCAGCAGGCTCAATTTGCGCATTTGCGGAAGCCCGCCTGTAGGACCGGATCTGAAAAGAATACGATGCCCTGGCAAGGCAAGCTCCAGTAAGATGTTTGCCCGACCGCGCTGCGAATATCAGCGAATCCATCATGCCTCGAACACCACGATGAAGTTCGAAAGATTGCTAAAAACGAGGGTGGACCTTGGCAACATGCTGCCATCCAACCTTGAGCTCGTGTCCAAACTGACTGTGGCGAAAGGTAAAGTCGCTGACGTGGCCGACGTAGCCTTCAGCAGATAGAGCACCGCCTTAGCTCGGCATGCTTAGCTCTACTTGTGATCTCTGAGTTGTGAGCACACCTACCAAACTCTGGATTCTCAAAGCCCCAAAGCTCAAGCGCGAGCCAAGTGATTGCCCACGAAGGCGAACACGGACAAGGCCAGCATCAGCCTGGCGATGACCATACTGGCAAACGTGCACCTGCTCTCCTGGTCCCCTCGGAACATATGACAACTGAGGTCTGGGCATGATTGACGGATTGTGAAGCCAGACATTCCAGGCTTCCAGAAAACTCGGCATGTCGGATGCAACATGCTGATGCAAACAGGCCTGCAACACACCATGTCACCCGGACATTAGACCATGGAGATGTCAACATATACACACACACACAACGCAAAGTCTATGTACTATATACTTTTCGCATCCGCCGACGCCACAACTTTTGCAGAAACTTTTGCTCGCTGAGGTTGCTGGCATAGGCTCGTGCAGGGTTCGACTCAAGCGCTCTGATGCGTTCGGTCATGGCTGTTGGGAGAACAGCGCAGTACATAGGCACGGAATCTGAACTGTTCCGCGATAGCCCTGACAATTCTGAGATGGTACTTTAATTTAACTCTCGCCTGGCCGCAATGGATCACCCCCCGGCCATGGGTTTAGCCTGGTTTGGGCCATACCATGGCGGCTAGTTCCAAGAGATTCGAGCCAAGCCTGGCGACCGAAGTTCGGATTTTGTCTTTTTCTGGGTCTGGATACGATAACCGAAACGATTCATAGATACGACTGGCGCATTCCACGTGAGTCTTTTTTTTTTTAGGTTTTTGGGGTTTCGGGTTTGGTGTTTTTTAGGCTTCCCGCACCTCTCAACCTGGGGCTCGAGCGCCGGCGAGGGAATTCGCATCCAAGTCGTATCCAAGCCCGTGTCGGAACCCGTCTTAGAACCTGTATTTTTCCTTGGGAGGACCACAGAAAGAGGCTCCCGGACCTGGGGATCTGGCGCCGCGTGAGGGAAATCGTATCCAAACCCGTATCGGAACCCGTATTATTGCCCCTATTCCGAGGTGTATCCAAACCATGTATCCAAAGCAGTGTCGGTTTCTGCATCTGAAGGATGACCCGATGTACCGATCGTATCCCCAGATCGTATCCATATCGTATTGAAATCATTAAAGGAACCTCTGAAGGAGGAATCCGTACCCATATAACTAGAAACTCTTGGGGTTAGTTATCCTTCAGTTGCCATGACGTAGACATAGTGAAAGTGCAAGCTGCAGACATGACATGCCAAAAGATGCACCTGCCAACATGCAGGCTACCTTCCAGCTCCTTGTCCCGACCATCCGCATCACGCTAAACCCTGCACTGAAGCAGACCAGCGAAAGAAAACAACAAAACAAAAACAAACATAAACTTGAAGGACTCATAAACTTGAAGGACTGAATGCCAAAGTTCACAACAAGCCGGACAAGAACGAAGCAGCCACACCGCAGAAACTGCACTCAACCACTGCTGGCCCTGGGTCCGTCACAATCGCTCGTTGACGGTGGTGAGGACTCCGGCCGGCAGAGTGAGCAGCAAACCATCGAATGCGCACAGCAGGGTCGCGGGCGCCTGTGCCAGTCGGATTCAATGTCAATAACCCTCTCGACCCCAGAAAGTCCTCTTTGCATTCGGCCAGGAGCATCCGCTGGAGGAGCCTATATGGCAGAACAACAGCCTCCAGGCAACGTGCTTGACGAGTTGTCACCAAATCCTAGGGAGAAGCTATAACCAGAAGCCGACAGCTGAGGGCTCCGCCACGAGAAGTCCAGCTGCTCGCGCCCCATTTGCAGAGAATTCCGGATATTGCAAACTAAACCTCACGTGCAACAGCCGTCGGCTTAGCAAGCAAGTCGACACTTCTGGAATGAGGTGCAGACAGGAGCGCACCAAAGGCCATGGTGATCAGTGCCATCTTGGATGAAAACGTCCTGGCATTTGTACGCCACGCAGTCAAGGGACATACTGTGTCGCCTGCAAGCTCGCCATGCCCACACGTTGAAGCCTCTGGAGATGTTCGACCTGTGCATTCCGAAGAGTATCGATCTCCTCATCCTCCCGTAAGGTTTGTTATCAGGATTGTGGGCTGCAATAAACGATTGTCGCAGGTCTTATCACCCGTAGCTGAGGCGGCGACGGGAGCACGAGGGGCTCGATGAACAAAGCGAAGAGCGGGCACAGATTGAGAAAGATCGTCCGCTCGGACAAGGAGCCTTAAGACTGCTAAGGAACGTGCTGGGCCAGCTGGGCCAGCATCACAGAATTCGACTTCTTACTTACGATCAGCGGGACCCATGAGCAGGAACTTGAAGGCAGGGCAAGTATGTCCACAAAAGAGGAGAGGTTGATAAAGGGTGAATGCTTGCAGCCTCTGGGTGGGATTCCTCCTCTCCACGATTCAGTTTCGATATATAGACGCCCAACACCGCGACTTCTGGATCCTAGCCTCTAGCTTGCGGTGCTTCATGAGGCGGCCGCAATACAACGACACCTCATGGTTGATGAGCTGGTATGCCACGAACCTGCATGGCATTGCGGTTTACAGGTCTGGATTACTTCAGGTGGGAAATTCATCAAGGGGAGCTTGACTCCATGGTGATCTACCAAGGCTCTGACCACAAGGCTGCTGGCCTGGTGAGGGGAAAATGAACTTCACAAAAAGCTGAGAGGCTGCCCTCACTGCAACAGTGGGGCTGCCACGTCCATCTAAGGAGCGGGTAGGACAATGAGCCACAAGACCTCAGACTCGAAAAAAAGAACCGGCCACCTGCTGTGAGTCTTTCGGCACAAGGCCAACTGACTCGTTTCCTGCAGGAAAGTGAGGCCAGAGCAGTGGGTACAATGAAAGCTCAGAAGGTACTTTCGAGCTTTGATCCTGCATGCAGCGTCTGGGCTATCGTTGCTCATCAATGCAGTGGGAAGGGTCTTCAAAAAAATTCTGGTTTTGTGTCCAATGCAGCAGCAGCAAACCCGAAGATAGCTCTTTTCTGTCAAGCACTGGCATCTTCGCAGCATGTCTCCGGACGAATCCAAGGTCAGGCGGCCATCGTTGGACTCCCCACCTACAGTGCTCACGTGCATGTAGGATAGCAACTCTCCTGCAGACATCCACACACAGACGCATTTCAAGCCGCAGCTTCTGAAACAATTCTCAGCCACGTCTACTCCAAGTGTCTAAGCTCCCGACTTAGCCACACCTCCCGGTCTGAATCTGCGTCGTTGTCCTGAGCTGGGTGCATAGATCACGGTTTGACGGTGTGCAGACGAAACCACGTTGAACAGCCACAGCTGCTGTGAAGGGCTGCTGACTGCTGCAGTCCCACTACTTGGTCTCTGCACGGCAAGTTTCCAAAGATACTCGTACCAACACTGGTCCATCAGGCTCGCTGCACGGCCCGACGCGATGCTGCAACAGAAGCTGCAATGTGCCCTCCTCGTTAAGCGCCGATGCAATCGCAGTCTAACTGCACGCATCTCGGTCACAACAAGAAAACAATTACTTTGTGTTGTACATGCTTCTTTATTGAAGCTTGCGCAGCTTGGAGATGCTCGGCCAAGGTAGCAAGGCGGCCCTTCCATTTTGCCGGCATTCGCTGCCTCTGCTTCTTCGTCTGAAACTTTAGTTGATGCTGGGTGGTTCGGACATGTTCGGACACCCTATGATACCCGCGCTCGAACAACAGTAGTGAGAGCCCGCAAGCTGCTGGCGGCTTCAGCCAACACAGCTTTTGTGCCCTCCTCTTCCAGGTGCCTCTTTCGCGGCACCCCCTTCTGCGTGTTGATGGAGGGCATTTACAAAATTTGAGTTGTGTTTCCTTTGAAGAACATACTTCACCAAAAACTCATGAAAGATTTTTCAACAGCGGTTTAGGTGCATTGCTCGGGCTGAGCAGTCAGCTGTTCACTCAGAGCTGTCCTTCTGAAAAACCACCCAAAACATGGACCCAGCCGCGGCTATGTCAATTGAACCACGGAAACTGTACGCAAATGGGCACGAGGATCGAGGATTTCCGAGTGGCAAGACATTCGACGATGCCTTACAACTTTGGACAAAGTTTCGCAATGTAGTGAAACATGTTTAGATTCTGTAAGCTCCGCAGTGCTGACAATTATTATTATCAATTGTTGCCCCTCCCCTCCCCAGGCAACTCCTCGGGGTACACCTTCCTCTTTGTGGCCAACATGGCCAGGCACTCGGCGCCCTCTGGACAGATCTTCCACTTGAAGAGCACCCCTTCAGCTGACGCTGCCATCCTTGGAACGCCACTGCCGATAGTACTCAGGCTATGAATCTCTCCGATCTTAGTCCAGGCGGCTTGTGCAAGATCGGCGTTCCAGCATGTAGAATGGCCTGATGCTGATGGCCACATTCCATGTATATTCTCATGAGAATGTCTCCTCGACATGGAATGCCGCCCAGGTTTCTTAAGCTACCACAGCAGGCAGCGTTCCGCTCAACCTCCCAGTGCTGGCGAGCTGCCAGATCTGCAGAGGGCTCACTCAGTGCTAGAAGTCGCTCGCCAATGAAACTGACAACATCCTCGGCAACCCCCAAACTCCCGCAAATACCGGACGCATGAACCAACCGACAAGGTGGCCCTCTAATGCTTCAGGCGAAAGCTCTTTCGGAAATGACACCAACTGGTGTAATTGGTGTCCACATAAGCCGAAGAAGTCCACCACTTCCTGCTCAGGCTGGCGAGGTTGCATTGACAGTGAAGCAGATAGTGCCGGCACTGAGGGCCATAGTAATGACAGAACAGAGCCAACAACGGCAACAACATTTATGGCAATCGTCGTTCGTACCGGAAGTTGATCGTACTAATTACCCAGAATATTCAGCACCGGTAGTGGTGATTGCATGTAGAGTACATGGTCATGGCAACACACTCCAAGTCCTTGAAGGCAGGGTCGTCCAACTCAAATCGAGGAAAGAGTGGCCGCAAAGCTCTTCCTGTGCGCAGCGCGACATGGGCAGGGATTGCTCTACAATCCAAGAACCTGCGGACTGCGCCGAAGGCAAAAGCATGAGCCTAGCGGTTTTGGTCATCCAAACGAAGGCTTAGGTTAGACAGCACCGCCTCGCAGGTATAGTCTTCCAGCGAAAACAGTTAGAGCGAGAATGGTCGATCTTCTGGTTCTTAACACGGACTGCCTGGCTGCTGAATCGCCGATGCAAGCGTCAAATGTGATTGAGTCCTTACAGCACAAATCAAAAGTCAGGTGAAGCTCTCTGGCGATGCTCTGTCGTCGTTCTTCTCAAGACCATATGACAGAAATCAGCCTAAACTTCTGTGCTTTGCTAACTGCGGCTGGCGGAGCTCCCCCAGCGTGAAGACCGCCAAGAAAAAGCCCCCGAAATGGGGCCCATGAATGGGCAAGAATCGTGCGCAGTGATGCAGCGACAACTCCATGGATCGCTCCGCAGACAAGGGGAACATCGTATTCACCAGGCTGGGCGCATCTGCTCCGCGTGCGTATTCTTCCATAGATCTGTAGGAGCGCTCCGTGGAATTAAAACTGGGGTCTGGGACCCGCCATGTGCTCAAACCAGGCAGTCCTCTTGGACATCTTTTTGGCAGAACCGCTTCTGCAGGCAAGAGGTGCACTCCCGGGGCATTCTCAATCAAAGCTGCTTGCACCACCGCTTCGCACTCCAGCGGGTTTAGTGAGCATGTCGAATATACTAGTCTTCCGCCAGGTCTGAGCAAAGAGAGGCCCCTGCGCAAAAGGCGCAGCTGCAGCTCATGGTGGCTCAACCCAGACCCCACACTCCAGCGCTGTAGCCGCTTCGGCTCCTTGCGAATCGTCCCGTCTGAGCTGCAGGGAGCATCCACTAAGATGCGATCGAAAGCACGCGGGCCAAGCAAGTCAGGAAAACAAGTCCCATCCACATTCGTAACGAGCAAAGGGGTACACCGCTGAGCCTTTGCTCTAGACCAGGTTCGCTCCGATCTTTCCGTGCGGACATCGTTGGCAACAAGAAGACTCCAGTCTTCGCTTGAATGGGCCGGTCTCAAAATGTCTAGCAGTTGGCAGGCCTTGCTTCCAGGAGCGCTGCACAGATCCAAGACTGCATCGCCTGGCTGTGGATCGAGCGCGACCACAGGCAGCATGGAGAGCCCATCTTGGACCACCACCTCCCCTGTGGAAGACAAGGTGTTCACAAGCTCCAGACCAGCTGCAGCTTCGTCGGGATTTGTGGTGGGTACAACATGCAAAGCACCACCGGACTCGTCCATCCAGGGAACGAATTCCGCCCTTTGACCCAGCTTCTCGGTCAATGCAGAAAGCGTTTCTGCATGCAACGGGGATCGGTTCAAGCGCAGGCTAAGAGGCACAGGACGTCCGAATAGTCTCTCGCATTGTTCCCACTCTCCCGAACCGATGGCCAGCTGTAAATCCCTGTAGTACAACCGAAATTTAGCCAATCCTCCGTCAGCTGCCTGCTTCACACGCTCCACATCGACAGGATCGCACACGAGCTGCATTCTGGGAGCACCACGCTTCGTCCCAGCACAAGCGACGTTAGAATCATCTGGACGTGATGTCGCGCCACAATCAGTCCGCAACATCACAACTTCTCCGCTAAGCACAACGCGACGACCTGCAGCCACCTGGCCATTGACCAAGACTCTGCCGTCTTGACATGCAGCAGCTGCTTCCTGGCGAACGTTTACATGCATGGCACCTCCCCTGCGCCCGAGTACCTCGCGAAAATGCTGCGCGACAAACCTCTGCAGCCGGCATCCGCAATGAGTTTCGGCAACAACCACGCACAGCCCGTTGGTTGTCTCGTACTGCATGCTTGCATCCCGTCAAGCTAACGGATGCCCGCCGCCCATCGCCGGCATACTTTGCCTGCGATCCGAGTCTAGTTCTAGTAGGACTAAAGTTGTGTAAGCTAGCCTCACGGTGGGGCTGTAGCTTTTGCTGCTGCACGGCGCATGAATTTCGCATCTTGCTGCCACTATGACTGCTTGAGACTGCCGGAGGCAAGCACCACTCTCATGCCACAGCGCTCACGTACAAATACATGCTATACAAAATCTGTACACTCTGTCATCTCTATCCATCTATCCGTCTATCTATCTGTCTCTCTCTCTCTCTCTATCTATGTACCTCTCTAGATTATATATATATATACACATACATATACTATCTATGCATACCATATATGCACTCTGGTACTATAAAACTCTATAAACAAACTACAAGATACCATAGATCCCGCTCAGGTTCCGGCAGCCTGCGCTTGGCTGACTCGCCCAGCGAAGCTGGCATAAACCTGCGAAAAGAGCAGCGAAAGAGAGAGCGAGAGAGAGAGAGAGTGTGTGTGTGCCTTTTCTTTAGCCGCAGAGGGCTCTCTCAGGAGGGCTACAGTAAGGGTTTCAAGGGGTTCTTGGGGGTCTTAGGGTTGTCGGGGGTTTAGGGGCTTAAAGCTCGGGCTTCAGGGTTTAGGAGGCTTAGGGCGTTTCGGAGATCACAACTCGGACAATCCAGGCGAGGCCTAGGTCGATAGGCAGAGGCTGAGTGAAGTCGACGAGACAAAGGCTGGCACAGTTCTTTTTGTTCGAAGCGTTCGACGCATGTTTGGCCGTGCGAGACAGGCTTCAGCAGAAAAGGCCTGAGGATGTCACCCCTCAAATCTCGTCCGATGTGCTCGAGAAGGCCAAAGGCTTCAGTTGCTGCGCTTCCTTTTGCTAGCAAGATGTCCTGGTTGCCTTTATGAAGGCCCCTCCGCTGATTTCGTGGACTCTCCTCCCGCAACCCAAATTGCACAACAAGAAGGTGCGCAGGTCTGCTCACAGATTTATCCACGTCCCAGCGGTGCGTAAGCAGATCTGGCAAGCTTTTGCTGAGGATAGTGTAGACCTCACTTTCTGGGACTTGGGTTTCGTCCACGGCACTCGAAGAATTGCTGCTGCCTGACATCCTTTGCAGCCTTGCATCTTGCATCGGAGGTACGTCAGCAGAGTGAACAACACGCCAGGGGTCAAACAGGCGCAGAACCTTCCAAGCATCCAGATGCTCAGGGTCGTTGCTTGTGCATTGAAACTGCGGCTGGCTTTCACCGTTGCTTGCATGCGACGGCGTCGTCATAGGACATGCATTCAGTGACTCAGCGTTCTCTGTGGCATGGCCCGCCACAGCATCGCGGAAATGCTGGGAGATCCGACTCTTGAATTTCAAGGCGCTGTTTCTCCAAGCCATCATGCTCCAAGGAGACATGCTGTTGGAGGCTTCTAGATCAAGTTCTGGCGGCCTCGATCTCAACTGTCGCCAGGGGCTGACGGCTTCTGGCGATTCGTTCTCACCCTCGTCCTTCCAAGCAGTTAGCTTTTTCTGCAAGCCATCATCCTCGATCTCACTGTCGCTGTCACATCCGGACCAGGTGGAACCAGAGCCCCAGCTCAAGCGAGAGGCTTTGTGAGCTCATGATGCTTTGAAGGTGGCTGCCGACTTTCGAGCTCCAGTGCCTTCCACACGAAGAGGAGTTTGCAGAGTGTTTTCGAATTGCGTCCGGGTTTCCAGCCTCTGCCAGGCTCTGGAACCATGGCAAGGTACCATTGACATACCAAACCACTTAGACAGCAAGTACGCTTTGCTGGGACTTGTTGCCTCCCGCCTGGCATGTCCGAGAACTCGCTTGGCAGGTTTCACTTGCTCGGACTGCGTGTAACATATGATGACGGGGTTGTCATTAGGCCCCGGCGTGAGCCAGCTTGAGCCAAAATGGCTAGAGTATGCTACAGTATGGAGTTTAGAGGGTTGCGACTCGCACGCTCGATGACAGCACGGCTTCCGACTGGCCTCAGACTGCTACAGTAAGTTATGCTCCCGAACGCAGGAACTGACAGCAACGCATCAACAGGACCCGGACGAAGCAGCATGTAAGGACCCAAGAATCTAGGGTTTACGGCGGATAAAGACGTGCTTTTTACATCCAACTTCAATGCGAGCCATGTAAGGAGGCTCGTTCTGAGGCGATGGCCTGACATCCTAGCGTCCAGAGAGCAGTAATGACCTGAGTGTACTGCCAGAGTAATGAAATCTAGGAGCAGCTCCTTGAGTAATGAGACTCTCCCAAGCTGGGGCATCCGGCAAAACAGAATCCTGCTTGTATCGTTGTCAAAGCCATGGGTGCGGCTGTCAGAGTCGACCTTCGCAGCTTTCGACCCGGATTGGACTCCTCACTTTTGACACGACCTCTCACTCGATGCCAGCTTTTGCTAAAAGGTGCACACTAAAGATCGTTCTCGACATGGGCACGGCAGATCAGGACAGCCACCACACGTAGATAAGAGGATTAGCTTGGACATCTTACCCAAGCCACACCCGCACGCATAGACACACCCAACTGCACTCTTGTCAAACTTCACAGGCACCCACAGGGACTGGTTCACCAGGTCCGAGCCGACAGTGAACGCACCTCGCCAAACGAGGCAGCAAATCATTCCATCGCCAGCGGCATTCTGACTTGAACTTTCCAGAGGATGACTTCGACGTCGCTGTCATTCGCTGTCAATTTCTGTAAGCGTGGGGCAGAGCGTGAAGGGCACAAGGATCAAGTAGTGTTTCTCTTGGTATCCTGCGACAACATGCGTAACAGGTCACAGCATGAAACTCGCCACAAGTTGAACTTGGCAAGTTGTGCTAGCTAGACGGACTCGACTGCGCCAGCTAATCGCCAATCACCAAGCCCTCTGCCATAGTGCGCAAAGTATGCCCAAGCCATGGCCAGAGGAACGTACCTAACAGAGAGTCGGGAAGACTCATGCAACCAGATTCGAGACTCTAGCTGATACTGATATGATACTACGAACCACTGAGGTCGCGGCAATAAAAGATAAACTGAGACGATGATTTCTGGTGTGGCCTGCAACTACTTTCTCAGCAATTTCGCCCGAGCAGCTCGCCTGCTCCCCTCAAAGCAAGCTCAGAGCAGTGCGATCTCAACGTCAACCGCGGTCGCAAAGGTGTTATGCGGCTGCACGGGCACCATCTTCGTTCTCACCTGCACTGCTCAGACACACAGAAACCCGCAAGCTCAGGGAACCAGGACTAACACTGAGCCACCGAGTGCAGGGCCTTTGCGAAGGGTGAGTTCTCCGACGAAATGTTCACACCCCTTAGATCTGCTACTGCAACACCTGCGGGGACCACAATGACAATAATTTCTGAGAGCCAGGCTTCTTGGTTGGGAACCTGACATGCAAAGGCGATCGTAAACACACCCGCCTGGATCAATGCGAGCTGCCCCCTGCTTTTGCTTGTGATTACTTTCCTGCCTAAGGCAAAGGATGTTCCAAAACGAGCAAAAAAGCCTGATCTTAATATCCGAAAACGCAGAAGCGCACGGACGAGGCTGGATATGCTTAAATTCTGCTTTTTACACCATTACAAGCATAAAAAATTGCATAAGCAGGTCCACAGCGAAAAAGCATAAGCAGCAGCATGATTTTAGCGTAAGCGGGCTGAAAAGCACAGGCAGAACCATAATAATTTTAGCGTAAGCGGGGTGGCCAAGCATAAAAAGCATAATGTTAGCATCAGCGCCCTTGGCCCATGCAGGCACTGGCCCGCCCAGCCCCAACCACGCCCCCGCGACTTGCAGCAACAACAACAACAACAACAACAACAACAGCAACAGCAACAACAACAACAGCAACAACAGCAACAACACCAACAACAGCAACAACACCAACACCACCACCAACAACAACTTCTGCAAGGCTCTTCCTTTCTCTCTCTGCCTTTATTTGCCGGTGTATACCTCTGCTCTCTTGGCTCTGCACGGTTCTGCTTATGGCTCCAGGCTCATGCTTTCGCTTGCAATGTTATGCTGATAGTTTTGTGCTGATGTTGTTTTGCTAGCTTTGCGCCTATGCTTTCTTGCTTGCGCTTTTTGTGCTTTGTTTTCCTGTGCTTATGCTTTCTTGTTTTTCTTGTTTATGATTTGTTGCTGATGATTGTCTTGCTTATGTTGTTGCTTGGCTTTTGGCACTTATGCTCTTTTGCTTATGCTTTTTCGGTGCCCGTTTATGCTTTTTTGCGGGTATGGGCCCTCGGGCCCGCCTTAGGCCAGAAAGAAGTCATAAGTTTATCCACTCTGTCGTAGCACCGGTTGAGAAAGATAACGTGTTGAGCTCCAGGCATCGTCAACGAGGAGGCCCGGGTAAAAATGAATTTCTGAGCCTGCCAGCGCATCACAAAGATTAACGTGTGTGATCAAGCCTCAGAGTTTGTGCAACTGCAGCACTGGAGCGCAGGCTGGACTTCTTGACCAGCTCTTGGAACCGTACCAGTATACATAGTATCTTCCACTAGCTTACAAGCCAGCAAGCCAGGCGGCTGGGCGCAGAAGGTGCCTGGCCTCGTATTCCTTCAGCTGCTCTGCATTCTCCCGTTCTGTGTCCTGTGCACCGAAGCACGAGCTGTAGGAAAACCATGCGGAGACAAAGAGAGCCTTTTCCGGTGCAGTTGATGCCAAGCAGGCGCAGAAGCGAGTTGCAGTGTCTGAGAGAGGCTTGATCACCAGGCAGCTGGAGGCTTCAAAACCCGTCTTCTTGGAGACTGGAACTCGTGCAAACCCGGCTGAACTCCAGAAGTTCAACAGCCGCGGGTTGCTGTTGAAGATGGCACCCAGCACATCAGCTCGGCCATCGCCACGAGCCGACAGGTCTCTGATGATTCCACCCAACAGCTTGTGACCAAGACCCTTGCCCTGCACCTCAGGATGCACCGCCAAGCGCGCTACACGCAAGAATGTTGGGCTGATGCACGTTTCTTGTTCATGCATTTGCCGAGCTGGAAGGAGAGCTTCTGCCAGCAAATCGTGCCTTCGAAGCCCGCCCCTCTGTTCGTGCAGTAGAAGCGCACATGCCAGCAGTCTGCGTTGACCGCCGCACGGTGTCCAAATCGCAAAAAGCTCCATCCGAGTTTCGTCCAGAAGCAGTCTCAAATCTGCCGGACGAGTCCGGTAATGGGCAACTGCAAGCAACCCATACACTTCTCGGATAATCTCTTCGCTGCTTATCAGGCTTGGACGGCGGATCCGTTCAATTTCAACATCTGCTTCCGCGTCAACAGTGGGCAAAGGCAAGGGCTCGGGATCAAGCAGAAGCGCATCCGCCACCAGCTTCTCAACGGGGTCGCCCGAAGGCCATCGGATTGGAGTCTCCATCTTCAAGCACGCCAAAGGCATTCCCTTCAATTCTGCCCGCTCTAAAGCACGCAGCAGTCCATGGCCCGTGCCTTCGTATCCATGTACCGTCCCAGCTACGACGACGCCCAAGTTGTGCATAGCTTGCACAGCCTCGAAGAAGCATTCGAGTGATGAAGTTGGCTGTGCAGCAGCCTCATCGACCATCACCAGGTCAATCCCTCCCAGGCTCAGATCCAAACTTGTCTCCAAACGGATTGTCCGAAGATCAGTTGATTCTGCGGCGGGAGGTATTGCTTGAAGTGTGCAGCTCGGGTCATGGGAGTCTTCTGATACTTCCTTGTCGGGCAAGACTGTCCATTTCAGTAGTGTCAGGCCTTCGCGAGCCCAAAAGAACACCTCGGCGACAGACCTTTCTGTTTTGGCTACCACCTCAGCCGGCCACCAACCAATGATAAGTAGTGAAAACTCCCTCTGGCTCCGCAAACTAGGACCCAAGCACGGAAACGAATGCCCAACTACATAACATAACTACATCGGCACTGGCTTTCAGGAGAATGCAAGGCAGCAAGGATGGGGCGACTCTCGTGGTTCTTGGCCACCCGGTAAGCCCTCAACAAGACACATGCTTCAAAGAAGGAGCGGTGCCCCTGCGTGATTACGTTTATGTCTCGTCGAGGTGCTCATCGTCTAGTCATAAAAGTGGGATGTTGGCAAGTTCCAAAGGTCACTGGAATCATTGGAACCGGGAATGTGCAATTAATGAAGGTTAAGAACCCCTCCAACCTAAAGGCCAAGCTAGTGCTGCCTCAACGGGGACATAGCCTTGCCAAACTAAAGCCCGAAAGCTTGCCTGTACAAGCTGAGCCTCAACGATCGCGTGCATCTGCGCCAGAAGAGCGGCTGCTGCAATACCCAGTGCGCTGCTCTTCCCCCTGCCTCGCGGTGCTAGCAGGGCCAGCAGCGAGCCTGCGAAAAAAGACTATCCAAAAGGAAGGAGGCAAGCGGCATATGTGCTGTATGGTGGGGCCAGTTCCAATTTATTCCGCTGATGGGGACGATCAGCTGAGTTGGTATCCTTGTATTCAGCTCAACGGCATCAAGCAACCAGAGACGCCATGTGAATTTGGTAATCTTTAGAGAGCTAGCCTTCGTTGCTAAAGAGGCTCAACATGGCCATGCCTTGCGTCGAAGCTGCAGCGATGGCCTTTGTTCCAAGGGCGGGGGAAGCTTTCGCTCAAGGCTACTGTGCGGTGTCCGGCTCAAAAACCGATATACTATGTTACTGTGTGCTGCCAGCATGCCTCGACAGCAGCAGCTTGCTCCGCAGTCTTGCAGAGACTGAGAACGCTGGAGAGGGGACCGGCTGCTTCGACAGGCGATGAGGTAGCATCACTTGCATCGAGGCCTTGGTCAGGCTGATACTTGCGGCTGCCGCAGTCGTCCACAGAGTCAGGAGCACGCGGCACGTGTTTGTGTGTGCCGCTCACGTGGTCCAAGTGAGTGTGTGGACAATCCTGAAGCATCTTACCAAACCGGATGTCGAAGGGCGTTCTCCAGAAAAGCTTCCTGCTGGGGCAATGCTCACCGACTATCTTTGGCACGGTTCTGCGTGGCCCATGATGAACTTCGGCGTTTTCCGTCATCACCAAAACAAGCAAACCACCTCCAACAACCAAGCCTGATAAAGCCCCAAGAGCGTCGGCTTGAAGGTGGGGAATGCACACCAGCACACACACCTCGCACTGGGTGCCCAAGATATTGTCGGTATTTTTGATGTCTACCCAGTGCCACTGCGGTGCATCTTGGTTCATCTTTGGTGGCCCTTGAGATTTCTTATCAAAGCTTGCCCAAATCCACCGCGAAGGAGATGCACTTTGCGGGAACATGCTACTGCTATTGCTGCTCTTTGTTCGCAGACTCTGCGACGCCTCTGCCGCGACTTGCAGGGCCCATTCTCCTCTCTTTGCAGACACAATGAGGAGCTTGCGAGGGGAAGATCTGCTTGTGCTAGCGGAGGGCAGCTTGTCACTTTCAACCACCACTTGAGAGCTCAGAACAATCCCATGCTTGTGCAACACACCCTGGTAGGGTGCCAAGCTCGGAGAATCCACATTCTCTATCAAGAAGGCGTGGTTGGAGCTGTGTCTGTTCAGCATTGGGTTTTTGGAAATTTCGGCTGCCTTGCAGTGCTCCAGCCACTTCTCTCTCAGATCCGGATCCTTCTGTATGGCCTTGATGATGGTGGATAACTCCGCCTTCCGCTGCAGGCGGGCGGCAGCTTCAAGGTCGCGGAAGCCACCACATCGGGGGCACTGCCGAATGTGCCTTCGGAATACCAGATTTTCACAACTGCCGCACAGCCACTCGCACTTCGGCCAGCAAGCACTTGCAAGACCCTGCGTCAGGACTGCTGGGCCCACGAAGTCTGCGGTGCCGTCACGTGTCAAATGCGCTCGAATTTCTACATGATCTGTACCCGGCATGGGGTCCACAACTTCTAAAGATCGGACGTCAAATCCCAACTTCTGCAGCTTGGGCAAGTCCTGTTGAGATGACAGGCGTCCAGCTGAGATGTACAGTACTTCTCGAACCTGAATATGTGAGATGTAGGTGTAGAAATCCTCCCCCAAACCGGCAGACCGTGAAGACGACGTTATGAGAGCATGGGGCACACTGCCGTGCTCTATAAGATGCTGAAGATCATGGATCCCACCCTTGTGCACAGACACAGGTGCCGAATTGCGAGAACAGTTCTCTCGGGTGGCTTCTACCAGCTTGTCATTCTCCTCCATTGCGACCAGTGTGAGGTGGGACTGCAGGAGATGGCCAAGGGCAGCTGTACGGTACCCCCATCCACACTGCAGCTCCACCAATAAAATGCCAGGCCCCTCCAATCCTTCACTCATTCCGCGTGCATGATGCAGGAGAAACTCCACAGTACCAGCAGCAGACTCTGCATTTGCTGGGGCTGGGAAGTCACCCCCTGGCCGCCGATACTCGAAGCGACGCTCGGCGATCACCAAAGAATCATTGAAGGTAAGCTCCTGTTCAGAAGTTCAGAGTGGTTCGAAGCATACAGATTAAAGATTGCCAACGTGATTACAATGCCGATATGTACCAATACTTCGCTGGCATTACTTGTATAACCTCTCGTCGACAAGTAAGCGGGCACTGCAAACCTACCTTCCAAAGCTTCCAAGCTCCTCTCCACAACGCCGCCGATGGCCCCGGCTGCGGGCCTCCATGCTGCTGAGACCAGCTGCACAGCGCACGACTTCCGCTTCCTTGTCCCAGCGACCGGCCACAAGTGGCCGGTCGTAGGTCATCAGCACCTCCAAATGGCCTGTAGCTGAGGTATGCAGTAGAACGCGAAGATCTGCCTATCTCGATGCCTCGTTGTAAACCGAGTCGAATCGAAAGCTGCTGCTGTTGATGTCAAGGAGCGAGCATCCCAAGCGGAAAGGAATCTGCATGTCTTCAGCCCAGCCCGAACCTCGGATCAAGACATCCTGTCCACACAGAGCGCGTCGCTGCGCACTAGTCACTAGCATCAGTCCGTCTTGTCTGTGCCTTGACACTCCAGCTCCTGTCAAAACGGCCTTGCTTGGTAGCATACCAAGTCGCTGTCTCAGACCCCTCCAAAGCTGTCAGAAAAGGTTCCATGCACAGTTGAATGCGTGGTACCGCAGCAGGGAAGCAAGGCTCACGTAAAGGCACTGCTTGGAAATTTTCGCGGATCGCATAGGCTAACCTGCAGGTTCCCTCCGCGGTAACCTCAACGATTTGAAATCCACAGGCACAGTTGTATCCAGTAGTCCGCTGTGCTGGCATCACGGTGTGCGGAACGGCCGCGGCAGCAGGACACGCTTCCAGAAGCTCCGCTAATGCCACCCTTGCTCCAATTCCAGCGATTCACGCAACGCAAAAAAACTGGTTGGTTCATTCCCTGATCCTGCAAAGCAGGTCCGTACTACTTAAGGTGAACAACTAAAAGTGCCCAATGACGCCAAGCATCTCGAGCTTCTGTAAGCGGGATCCGCTGGACATCTTCGCCAGGGAAACAACATGTGCTCTTTCCACAGAGCGGAACGCTTCAGCACAGCTTCAAGACAAGCATGTGTGCGCTTAGCTTTCTTCTCTGCTCCACATGGTACAAGATTGCATGGGGACTCCCCGAGTCTTGCTTTGTCTGAGTTTGTGCCCGCAGTTACGGTAGAAATTCCCAGATTCGATCTGAAGACGCTTCAGCAATAGTAGAGGCGGAGTGGGTGGGAACAAGCATGTCTTGATTTGATTGGGAACATATGGGCCGTATGGCGATGGTGGCCGCAGCAAGCACGGGCATGATCCTCAGCCCCTGGGCGAGGGGAACGCTCCAGCCTCATCCGAAGGGCTCAGCCACTTCCAGCCATGCCGATGGACTTCACCCTGCCTGCAGGCGTGTAAACGTAAGGGTGTCATGTCTCGCGCATGTGGCGAAACCGGACCATCTACCGGAGGGAGGCATTGTCAGTTGACGCGTGATAGTTCTCACTGTCCGCTCAGTCGTATAGATCCTCTCCCAGCCCTCTCAATCTCATACACACGGTATCACTCTACTAACGGGCAGGCGTGGAATCCGCCGATGTCATAGGCAGATGCATGATTTGCCATCTGGTCGATATAGTTTTCATACAGTATGGAAACATCCCTTCCATTTTGGTCAGGGTGTGTCTCGGCAGGTAACCACCCACTCAGAGACTCAGAGGTGGTCTAGAGTCTAGAGAAGATAACTTCACCGGACATTGAGAGCAAGTTCCTGATCTTTCTCCTACTAGCACAAACTCTTCTGTCGCATCACCCGCCGTTCGTGCAATGTCCTTCCATCGCTACCAATACTATATGTAATATGTTCATCTATCATACTACCTGGTTACTACCTTACCTTATCTTTTACACTACATTCACTCCCAGCCTTGGCTTCGGGCCTGACCTGGCCAGGATCAATGCGGTGCTACTCTCCTCAGCAAGGCGCCTCTGTGTCTCACAGCACTGCTCTAGTCTGAACACCGGAGTTGAAAGCACTGCAGGAACCAGTCTCAGAGTCTCCAAGACAGTGATACGGTTTCAGGCAGGCCCTGCTCGTAGTTTCAAACTGTGCCAGGAGGGCAAAGCATAAGTTGAGGAGAATAAAGCCAAACCTGCAACAGAACGAGTGAGGGGCACGACATGTTGGTGACCCGGATGACATCTCGCCACCAGCCCGTATTGTACCATCTGTTTTGGGCCCAAGGCAAACGGCGACGCGAAGGGCAGACGGCCTGAGCGGAGCTGCACAGGCAAGTGACTTACAATGTTCAAGAGATCAGAATGCCAAGGCCACCACTTCCGAGGGGCATCGGGAAGCCATGCGACACCTCCCTCAGCCAAGCAACGCATTCTTCCGAAAGCACCCTTGTAGCTTTCGAAGCTTAACACCGACTTCCAACTTCGGCACCCACTCGTCTGTTATGTATGTTGCATGTATGCCACTAGAAACCTTGTCTCAGGAAGCAGCCATATGGAGTTGGAGCCACCGGCTCAAAGTGGCGGGGCCCCAAGCATTTCGATATCGAAGAGATTAAGCTGCGAAAGTGCGCTCCTATCACGAGCAAAGACAGCCACAATGTTCGTCAAGCCGCAAACCATCCCATGGACACAGTAAGCCTCACTAGCGATGCATGCTTTTCTTGCGGCGGCATGACTGCGTTCAATGCTGTAGCTTGTGAGACGAACATGGGATCGGCATTGCAACTGTCACGGCTGCGCTGTTAATTCCTGATTCAGGTGTGGAGTGCACAATGCCGCGAGGCATGCGAGTGTGCTTGACTTCAGCACAGCATCGGTGAAACCTAACGTGGAAACCTGACAACAATTGCTTCGTGCTCCTTCCTGCAAGACTTTAGCAGCCTTGGCCTATTCCTTGCAGCCAGGATGTGTTGTCTGATGCTCCCCCTGACGACCAGTGACCAAAAGCGCGTCACTCATCTTCGATATCAGCCAGAGCTTCGTCCTCCTCCCTTGCACGGAGAGGCAGCTTCTAAAGCCTGTGCAAACGCTCTTTGTCTGGGGTCTCGGCCCCTCCATACCTTCGGCTGGTGGTGCAGGCAACGCAGCTTCCTCTCTGTCGACCAGACCCATGAAAGCCTCGCCGTCGCTTCAGCACTCACAGATAGAAGAAACAGAAGTTCTTCTGTCTTGCAATCTCGCAGGCTTTGCCCTGGCATGTGCAACCTGCTCATATCTGCACTGAGGCTTGAACAAGCATTGTCTGCACATAGGCCGGGATGGCCTCAACACAGCGTGGGGCAACAAACGTTCAGCATGTCGTCGGCACCGCTCCTTGTCCAGGGGTGTCCCCAGGCTTGCCACCAGACCACGACAGGATTCCATGACCACCTGACTCGTCTTTTTTGTCAATCTGTTGGTGATCGTTTCGAGCCTTGGAAAATTCGTGGCACATCTCCTGCCTCAAAGAACTCCCAGAAAAGCAGTGCACGATGCTCAAACTCTTCGGGATGATTCGCTGTGATCTTTCCGACCTGTGGGCTCAATCAGTTGCTGCCAAATGCCACAGCTCTTGCTTACAGAGCCCGTTACAGTGCCTCTTACAGAAATCCTGACAGTAACCCTTTAGCAACTGTTTCAAGGCGCTGTTGTTAGGGCACGGGCGTGAGAGTCGAAGCTCTCCAGGATTGCCTGAAGCTGTTCGAGGTCGAGGTGCTCCTGCCCACGCAAAGCAAAGATGCTCGCATGCTATCAAGACATGTAGACACACTCACACACGTAGAAAAAATGTGTATATATATATATATGTATGTATGTATGTATATGTATGTATGTATGTATGTATATATATATATATATAACACATACATATATATATATATATGTAAATATATGTATGTGTATATATATATACAAATATATACAGAAATATGTGTATGCACATACATGCATGCACTCATTTAGACTGCCAATCTCCTGCCTCTCTTGGCACCATGGTGAGACCATGGACACGTGGGGCGGCTGTAACTCATACCTACATTAGTTACGTTACATTACATTTGCGTAACATGACTTCACAATACAATACGATACTACACTTTACTTTATACTACACTACAATATACTATACTAAACGATCCGATACGACACGATGCCCTATACTTTACCATCTTATGTAATACTACATTATATCATATCATATCATATCATATTGGTTCGTATTATACTGCATTATTTTTGGCTCCCGCATGGCAGCTCCCGGCAGCACAATAAAGTGCACTATGCTATATTATTGTGCTATACCACATCATCTTATTCTCTTGTTATTATTGTTATTATTGCTTTAATTATATTTTTTGTATTGACTTATTTACTGATTTGTTTTTTGTATTAAAGTCATAGCTGTATGTTGGTTTGTGTTTAGTTGTGTCTGTGTGTATGTGTATACATACATATATATATATATATGGTTAAACAGACATAGATATTGACGTATGATAATGATACGTATGTTTCTCCCAGGCATTCCTTACAAGGATACGTCTGCACTCAGCCAAGCCAGAGTGAACTCATCTCTTCTCGTCTATTTGTTCTCGTCGTCTCTCTGCCCTCTTGTCTCCGATGGTTGCGGGGTCCCGTTTAGAAGCATGTGCGTCCAAGCCTCTCCACCGAAAATCGCAGCCATGTCAACGCCAACCGCCTGTCGTCTCAGAAACTGACGCATCTGCCGCGGGTAGTTAAGCTCATCCAAGCTGAAGCCAAGAATTCTTCGCTCAGGATTATCCTTGTTTTCAGTCCATTTCTTCTACCCAATAGACCCGGTTAGCCAGAATCCTGTCTCAAAGGTAAAACGGCTATGACCGAGACGATTTTACCGAATCGTCAATTTCATGTTTTACCTAATCGGTAAAACTTGGAGACACGAATTATCCCGAATCCGTAACCCCTTCTCCTAATCTTTCGGCAAAATTTGCCGTTTTCGGTAGAATTGGTCGCAAGGTAAGCCGAGG